GCACCTTGGTAGAGGTGTCTGGCATCAGAGAAGGACTAAGTTGGTTTAACACTGAAAATATTTTACACATTCAAAAAACTTTTTTTTCCTGGAAATCTAATTATAATCAGTCCCCAGTGTGCTTTAAGAAAGGCATAATAAAGCATTTTTAAAAGGCATAATAACGCCTTTTGGAAAGGCGTAATAACGCCTTTTAGAAAGGCGTAATAACGCCTTTTAGAAAGGCGTAATAACGCCTTTTGGAAAGGCGTAACAACGCCTTTAAGAAAGGCGTAATAACGCCTTTAAGAAAGGCGTAATAACGCCTTTTGGAAAGGCGTAATAACGCCTTTAAGAAAGGCGTAATAACGCCTTTTTAAAAAGCGTAATAACGCCTTTTAGACAGGCGTAATAACGCCTTTTGGAAAGGCGCAATAACGCCTTTTGGAAAGGCGTAATTACACCTTTATTTGCGTTATTACGCCTTTTTTCGCGTTATAACGCCTTTTCAGCGTTATAACACCTTTTAAATTTTTTTTCCATAGTTTGATCCTAATAGGCTTTCGTAGGTTCCACCCCAGTCAAATAAAAAAAAAACAAAACGTAAAATCCATTCCCCAAACGTGAAAAAACCTATTTCGTGGTGGTGATGGTGGGGTCCACGTTTTCTAGGGCGTCCAAAGTCATGTTTTATTTGCTTTAGTATATACGTTTAATAACTCTGCAAATTCCAAAGGGGGGGGGTGGTCGAGACCCCCACGACCCCCTGTAGATGAGTTGGCTACTGCTTAATGTTAATTTAAGAGTAGTTTGAGGAAGAAGATAGTGTGACAGACGGAACGTACAGATGGACGGGCGGACCAGGATATAAAAAGAGGCGGATCCAGGATAATGTTTATACTGGGAAAGAGAAGTAATGTTGAAAAGAAAAGACCGAACTCTAATATTTCCTGACAATCAAAGTAAAGGTAACATTAAGGAAAATTCACAAATTCTCTTGCCAAGTGTAAAATGATTTCTGAAACCTTTTAGCATTTTATTTTCCAATACTCTGTAAAACATTACAAGGTATTTTACTATATGTAAAAATAATTGTTCCTAGGCAAGGAAACAATTTCGGGGGGGGGGGGGGGCAACAGAAATCCCTTGACAAGTTAAAAAAAAGGGTCACAGACATCATTTTTGAGGGAGCACAAATATATAGTAAATGTTGGCAATTTATTGGGACACCCCCCACCCCCCCCCCCATGTTTCTGCAGGCCTGGCATAAGTCATTAAATCGATTTAAGTAAAACACACATACAGAAATGCTTGCCTTTTTCAATGGGAAAAAAGAGACACTGAAAGATATTCATTTGGTAGACATTTTACCCTAGGCAAAAGATTTTTCAGATTATTTGTAGTAGAAACACATGAGTACATGCATACCAACAAATGTTACCCAAGATTCTATAAAAATTTTGTTCTTTTGTTGTATGTGACCCCCCACCCCTTAAGAATGGTACAGTGTATTCCCTACAGATATAGATACCCCCCTCCCTCCTAACAACGTCAGGGGTCCTGCGTCAACTCGTTGTCATCCCATGGCAACGAATTGACTTAGGACCCCTGACGTTTGAGGATGATCTCTCTCCATGCAGTTAAAAAAGCTTTTAAGTTATTTGCCTGCAAGGAAATGTGGGAATTAGATGTTTTGATTTTAAGAGGAAATACTTCTTCCTTGTATCATATGGCCAATCAAAACGTCAATAATTGTTACGTCGCAAATTTTGAAGAATGATTTTTAATTACACCAATAAAAAATATAGTTTTTGTCAGGTGACCGCATGGATATTCTCTCCTTCCCGCCTGTATTTTTTGATTCGCACAATTTATGTGTGTGTTCATGAGAAAAGACGTCGGATTGCAGCTCTCCAACTTAACATAAAAACGGATTGTTAATGAAATTCATAAGAAACCCTTTGGATATCAAGGATGAAAAATTCGAAGTTGAAGAAGGGAAATTCAGGTGTTAATTGAAAATCAAGAAAAAAAGATACCCGTTGATCATTTGACATATTCGAGAGCTGTGGCATGAACAAAAACGCTGTGTTAATAACTCTTCATCTATGGATGCAGTACAGCTGAACTTTATTCTAGTTGAGCAAAGAATACAACAAAGATGGTATATCCTGCTAAAAATTCCTATTACAATAGGTGTGACATTTTAAGATATTTATTTGTGGAATTCATATCAAGAACTTGATTTCTCGATGCGGTGGATCGAATATTTGCAGAGTTCCGTAAAACATTTCGAAATTTTGTCTCTGTATATAACAAAGCCCATTCTGTAATTCAGATTCAATATACAATGTAATTTAAAATGTTGAAATTGCCTTGGTGTTCAATAATTTATTTACACGGCACAGTTTTGCTGGCTCCGCCCATCGGTGCATCTCCAGTTATTGTACACTTGACTTCAAAGGAAAAACACCACAGCCATGATACAAGAAAGTTATTGAATATTTATTATGGTGCATCCTGATTTATTTGGACGAAGGGGCGGAGACTCGTGCTTCGCACTCGTCACCGCCCTTCGTCCAAATAAATCAGGATACACCATAATAAATATACAATAACTATTACTTCGATTTACTCCTTCCTCGCCTTCACCTTTTAAAAACTCCTGCATCCGCCAAGTTTTGCTATTATTGTAATATTCTTGCTATCATATGGTTTGAGTATGCCTATTGAAGATATTAAAAGTAACAATATAGGCAATATCTCTATAAACAGTGGCAGTTGGCAGTGAGCAGTTGGTAGTGGCAATATAGAACAGAACAGAACATTTATTTTCTAATTTAGAACCCATTACAGAAAAGTATGAAATTATTACAATAATAAGGCATATATAAAGTACAAAATTTAAGGTGGAAAATTATGTAGTATTGATTTAATGGGTCATTTAACAGCATTTAATATGCATGATTTTGTTCAACGGAAATAAGTCTTAGTAGAGGGGTAGGACTAACTTCGTACGTTGATCACTAATTTCTTGTTTTTGTTTCTCAAGTTCCGCATAACTGTTTGGGGATGGATGGGGGTTCTATATCTATAAGCTAGGCTTTTGCATGGTGAAACATATACTAATAGATGTGACCTAAATTACAACTTATCCATGGCACATTTTTCAGAATTATAGTGTACAAATATTAATGTTATATAGTTCGACACCGGTGTACCATTCAGGTGTTGGTGTGAATGATTATTGATATGATAAAATAATAGATAACAACTGCAGTAGCGGACAACCTTGTCTTACCCGGTCAAAAAGTGTACACTTTACCTGCACATGGTCTATTAAAACAGTACCACGCTCATGATATATGCACACATGTACAGCATTTGCAAAATAAATGTATTTTCAGGAGAAACATCTCAATTAAGAAAAGATACTTTTTAAATTAGTGTACAATTAGACTTTGACTGTAAGTTAAATCACTCAACTGTAAATATCTTTGATAACAATTTGTTATGAAATGTAATGTTATCAGTATATAGACGGTATATACGGTACATGTATATCAGTATACGTACATGAAGTAAATTTCTTACAGCTAGTATACTGGTTACTATACTGCAGCTGAAATTTCTGGAAACCTTTAGAATGCAAGATCTTTGGTCGAGTGTATAAACTATATATCTATGAATGTATTAAAAAGATGAAAAAAGAAAACAAAACAGCATTCAAAGGTAGCCCCCCACCCCCTTCCCACCCCCGTGTCAAACTTCATGAATTACAGTTTTAAGATGTCAATCTTACGTAAAGAATTTATGAACACGCCAGTAAATCAGAACTCAAAACAGTTTAATTGTTGTTTATAAAATAAGCTAAACGATATACTGGGGACATTAATTTACGAAAACAGTGCCAATTATATTTAAAGCGGTTTGTGAGGGGATTCTGGACGACGAGTTATCAATTGGCCCTTTTTACAACAAACCACGACTAAGATAGAAATTTGACAACTCTATAATTTTTTGTTTAATAAAGATAGTTGTTTTTCTTCTAAAATATTGTTTACAATATAATCTTACGTAATAGAAATAAAGGAAAATTGACATACTACAGATCTAAGAAACTTGTTGAAGAATAGGAAAATATTTGTCTTAGTCATAATCATTTTTATATTGATCACTGAAATTACAATACATTTACATGCATCCGAGTGTCTGATAATATCGAGTTTCAAACCATAACTGATGTTGTGGACAAAAGCGAAAATAATTTCTTCCCCCGAGTTTTCGTATGGGGGAGGGTATGAAGGGTGAACTCGCAGGTCATGTGCATCACTTTAGATATGTTAAGGTCAAGGAAGGGACCACTTTTCCGCACGGGGTGGGGGTAGAATAAAAGTCATTCTCCATATGACTCTAATTTTAATTGATAACATTGAAATTTGAAAAGGGGAGGGGGATGGGTAATCGACCAGGAGGGTGGTTTAGAGGCTAGAATATCGAGATATTTTGATTTCCTGTTTAATTTCAGAAAAGTTTTGACTGTGAAGGCAATTATATAATAATACTTATCTTTTTTTCAATTTATCTATTAACTGAATTTCAAAAATTAAACAAGCACTTATCTTGCCCATTGTGAATTAACCCCCTCCCCTTTCCAGGGACAGTTGGGATGGGCAGGGACCTTTATACTAGTATATACGTATAGGTCCCTGGGATGGGAAGAATGATTAAAATAATCCCCAGATTGTGCAGATGATATCAGTACTTGGCAATCTGGATACAGATAAATGTTTTTATTTTCATATACAGTACGCAGTAAACTAAAGAAAAATATACGTGAAGATTATTAATGCGGGTGTGCGTTATACAAAAACACAGAGTGTATCCAGTGAAAATTGTTATCTGTGGCCCAGACTTTGTTCGTTCGTAGATGTACCCCTGCCTAGATAAGAGACGTCCAAGGGGAGTATATACTTATATCTCACCGGCTGCTACAGTCATATCTCTTTCTGCAGGTGAAACTGCTTCATCTTTTATTTGTTTGATTTTTTTCTTCAAAATTGTTGTCGTTTGAAGAATCCACAACATCACAGACTGGAGATATTTAGATGCAGAACTTCGTTATAATCTTCTGTCTCCTGGCGGCTGGATTACCAGGTAATGTCAATTTGAAATTAATTCTGATTTCATAAGAGTTTCATGATTAATATCTCAATTTTCAAACGTACCTCATTATTACACGCTGTCAATAAATACAAAGAAAAGAAAATAATTAAGAATAAATAAATAAATAAAAATGTCTAATGTCTGGGATTCAACCATAATCTATAATTTTATATAAATACAGTAACTTTCAGTTATGTTTTGGATTTTCTTAAGGAACACTCTGGATTCATGTGTAATTTAAAAATATATCAAGTTTAATATGGCCGAGTATAGTTAGATCTTAATGAATAAATTCACACTAAGTACATATCCTAAAAACAACCGCAAGGAAGTGGTATCGTGGATAAAATTTGGGAATAAAATTTCCTTCAAAAATTTACGTCATGTATTTAAGCAATTCATTATTTAAACCTGTTGGAACATCGTGTAAAAATTTCCATTGCCTTAGACATGTGTACATGTAGAGAGAAAAAAAAGTGTTCAATAACGTAACTAGCTGTGACGATGTTCACGAACGGGTGGGGACTGTTGGTTGTTGTTTCCATAAAATTCAGGCTAATCATGAAATTGCATAACGTTTTATTAACTAAATTCTGATGTCAAATATAAGTACAGCTTAAATTTTTTTTTCGGGATCGAGATTCACAAAATCTGGCGCGTCCAATCAAATGCCAACACAGACGATCTGATGTTTGTGCAGCCACTGCGCTGAAGGGGATGTACAAGCAAAGCTTAATTCTGCAATACTTTCCGATGGCATCCCCTAGAGTAAAAGCTGTTCCAAAGCCATGGATACAATAAAACTTGTGATCTAAGTCATAATTAATGTTACAAGAAAATGAGTCCAGTGCAGGATTCGACCCTGGGTCCCTTGGGCCCCAGAAACTGGATATATTTAGAGGATATGTGGCTCTGTTGAGGATCTGTATATTTGTGAAATAATCCCGTAAGGGAGAGAGCTAAACAGTAGAAGTGAAATGTTTTTAAGCAATATAAAGATGTACATTAGGTGCATGATTGGCATGAAGATAACATACACTAACATTTGTATCCACGATAGCTCTTTACTGTTGGACAATCAGCAGGGTATTTTATGATTTGTACGTGTTTATTTCTTAAAATAGCACTGAACCAAGCTTTTTTTCTTTAAACTTACAGCTGCACAGGGACAGAATTTCGCATGTAACTTTGATCAAAACAATTTCTGCCAATGGACCAATGTCAGAGGATCTGACCAAATGGACTGGACCTTACAAAAGGGGGCAACAGGAACAGGTGGAACTGGGCCCCCAGGTGACCACACATCAGGAAGTAAGTAAATGAGCTTTATTTTGCAGTTTTATTTTGAAGGTTACTGGTTTGGTTGAAAAATCTTGTGAATTGGTCAAATAACCAAAATTTTAAACTAAACCATGTGCTTTCTTTAAGATCATTGTTATGTTTTCAGCAGTTTGAAGATTTCTGCATCAGAGAATTAATTTCAATTAATAATTAAAACTGATTTCTTGTAGAAGGGTACTACATATACTTGGAGACAAGCTCAGGACGCCAAGGATCAAAGGCTCAACTACAGAGTCCCAACCTGAGCCTCAACAGGGGGCAGACTAAGTGCCTGAGCCTCTGGTATCACATGTATGGACCAAATGTTGGGTACTTGAATGTTTACTTGAAGCGGAATGGCAATCTGAGGAACCCAATCTGGAGAAGAAATGGCAATAGGGGGCCCCAGTGGCAGAATGCACGTATCAACATTAGAGGCAACAATAATGTTAGAAATGGCCAGGTTTGTGAACATTTGTGCTTTTCATGTCATTAATATTTGAAAATTATACCTTCCTTAATTGTAAAATTTAGGCATCTTTAAATGCTACACTATACATCTGTTACACAAGAATAAGGAAAACATATCTTTTTTTTCTTGCAGCTTGTTATTGAGGCAACAAAAGGAAATGGTGGAAAGGGTGACATTAGTGTTGATGATATTCAGGTCACTAATGGTCCCTGTGGACAACAAGGTCTGTGCATGAAGTAAAATTCATATATTTATATCCTATTCTGAGAATTTCAATGTACTAAGCTCTAACTTAGTGATGTAAAAATAAATTATATTATACAGGAAAAAAATTGGTATTATTTTGTTTACATCAATTTATGATTTTCTATAATTTGTGGCATTTCATACATGCAGAATAATTCTAAATGAATAAAACTGAATTAAAACCTCTATATTTGTTCTCATATACATGGGATATTCTTTTATAACATTGCAAAGAAAATGACATTATTAATTTTAAAACACTTTTTTGAACAAAAGGTCAAACAACGGCTACCCCAGGAGGAACCCCCAGTCCTTCTTCTGTCACTTGTAATTTTGAATCATCCAACCTATGTGAGTGGAAGAATGACAGAACTGACAACTTTGACTGGGTCTGGAAAAGTGGGTCAACTGCCACTGCCAACACTGGTCCTACCAATGACCACACCACTAACACCGCATCAGGTAAACAATGTCCACACCACTAACACTGCATCAGATAAAAAATGTCCACACCACTAACACTGCATCAGGTAATCAATGACCACACCACTAATGCCGCATCGGGTAAACAATGACCACACCACTAACGCCGCATCAGGTAAACAATGACTACACCACTAACACTGCATCAGGTAAAAAATGACCACACCACTAACACCGCATCAGGTAATCAATGACCACACCACTAACACTGCATCAGGTAATCAATGACTACACTACTAACACCGCATCAGGAAATCAATGACCACACCACTAACACCGCATCAGGTAATCAATGACCACACCACTAACACCACATCAGGTAATCAATGACTACACCACTAACACCGCATCAGGAAATCAATGATCACACCATTAACACTGCATCAGGTAAACAATGACGACACCACTAACAAGACATCAGGTAATCAATGACCACACCACTTACACCACATCAGGTAATCAATGACCACACCACTAACACCACATCAGGTAAACAATGACCACACCACTAACACCACATCAGGTAATCAATGACCACACCACGAACACCACATCAGGTAAACAATGTCCACACCACCAATACTGCATCAAGTAACCAATGACCACACCACTAACACTGCATCAGGTAAACAATGACCACACCACTAACAATGCATCAGGTAATAAGATTGTCTTCAAAGGGCACTGATTATGAATTAGATCTTGTTTTCATTAGATCTAGCGCTGTTTTCACTGCAGTTTTATAAATTTACAAATATCCCAGGATGAACACATCAAAGAAAGTGACTTTATCTATTGATGAAAAAATTAATGTACAGTAAATTTAAAATCTACATTATTTTTTTTGCTTGTTTTGGATGAAGGGACAAGGGGGATGGGGTCAAGGGGGGGGATCAGATGGAAATGATTATGAATAAAATCATAGTAGGTTAGTAGTATATAGAACAGTAATTTTTTGTTCATGATAAACAAAGAGTAAGAGCAATTTTCATCAGAACATTCTGAACTGCAAGACTCTGGTTTTATGAATAAGTTATATGAATGTCTTATCTCCTATCCCAGTTTTGCATCAAGTTGAACAAGAAAACATTGATGTAACCATCAATTGTCGCCCGGGAAATAAATAAAGTAAACAATGGAAATGAGTCTTGATCATCAAACCGCTTCGATATGTGTGAAAAAGGCATGCGTCTGAATGATGGAGACGATAGTCGAGAATATTTTGAAAACTTATAGTCGGATGAAAATCGAACAAAAACGATACCCTTTTAAATTTTATCAATTCCTCAAGTAAATGTTGGCTGCATAAAATATAATTTGAAACCAGACACATGCATCACCTATTTTCAAAAATGTCTTTCACCTTAAGAATGTAAAACACGAGCTGTGTAAAGTACGTTTTTATGCGATAAGTGAAATTCGATGTTCTAAAAAAAGGGACCTGTCGTTTTTTCGATAGTAAATGATAAGCAACTTTATATATTAAATATGAAAAACATATATATTTTAACAGATTCACTTTATGGAAGTAAATATATTGTGTATCTCGTAATTTATAAAGGGAAAGAACATTCTGATTAACAATCTTTTTAATGTTTAGAAAACCTTTAATTCTGAATAACTTCTCCCACCTCAATCCCCATATACCAACACTTAAACTTATATGTATAGAGCAGCCCGGTCCTCCGGGCTGCAATAAAGACCATTGTGTCTGTTACTTGGTAGTAAGTAATTATAACGTACAAAAGTGCTTGATTATCTAAAGATAAAAATACTGATTATAAATGTATGTTGTCAAAATCATCTCACCAGATAAGAACCTAAACAAGTAATAGATTAAAAGTTTGATACTTGTAAATGTTTATAATTTGTTTTTCATTGTTAATTTTTCAGGACACTACGTCTACATTGAGGCAAATGGACATCGACAAGGCACAAAAGCTCGTTTGATTGCACCATCATACAGTGGAAGGTACTCCACATGCTTCCAGTTCTATTACAACATGCATGGTCAGAACATTGGTACCCTGAGTGTGTATAAGAAAACCTCTGGAGGACTGGGGAGTCCTATTTGGAGTCTGACTGGTGATCAGGGGACAGGGTGGCAGTTTGGACAAGTCTCCATACCTAGAGGAACCGCATACAGTGTAGGCATTCATGAAAAATGACAAATAACAAAAAATGAGCTTTTAGTAGAAGATCAATATACAGTCAAGTCTTAGTAATTCAGATGCCAATAATCTGGATTTTTCACCTTCTGGACAAAATTTATGGGGAACAGCATTTACATTTGATTCTATCAATTATAAAAGGAACATTTCTGTAATCTGGATGCTTCATTTATTCAGACAATTCGCTCAGAAACAAGTCCAGTTTAACAAGGATTGACTGTACCTAAAGTAATAAATTTTTGCTATAAAAAAATTATGTTTAAGAGCCTATGGTAGAATTGTTATGTTACTATTTACAGGTTGTGTTTGAGGCGAGTAAAGGATCAGGAAATCAAGGAGACATAGCTGTTGATGACCCAAAGATGTTCACTGGATCTTGTCCCAAAAGAGGTGAGATATTATATATACAAGGAAAAGATGGAGAGAAGAGAGAGAAGATATATGTCATAAGCATAGCAACAAATACCAAATTATTTCATTTTTTTTGCAGGTGCTTGTAACTTTGAGAAGGATTTTTGCGGGTGGAGTAACAGTGTTACAGACCAGTTTGATTGGATAAGACACAAGGGGAGAACAAGTTCCACAGGAACAGGGCCTACGTACGACCACACCTTGGGGAGCCGAGGGACTGGTCAGTGTAAAAAAAAAACAGTGCCAGAAGCAACTTACTCTGCTTTTGTTTGGTTTCTTTCCTTCAGCATAAGTATCATTCTTAAATATTTATTCACAATATGGAGTAAAAGATTTCTCCTGTAGTTGACAGTGTAAAGAATATGTTGATCATTTTTGACATGTGATAGTTGATGAATGAGACATTGTCTAATTGCTGGGGTTGTGGGATGTTGAGTCACAAGGTCCTTACTGGATTGACTTGTCTTTATGGCAATTCATAGAAAGAAAATGTGTGAGATAGATAAGATTATTTTATACTGAATTTGTACATTGATCTGTTTGCATGTTGTATGTTTTTAATTCTCTGTTCAGGATATTACATTTACATTGAGGCCAGTACTCCAAGGGCTCCTGGAGATGCAGCACAGATTATCAGCGAAGTGTTCCCACCATCACAGCGGACGTACTGCATACAGTTCTGGTAAATTATCAGGTTTTCTTCTCATTTGCTTGTAAACTGTAATAGAAACTCAATCCTTAGAACTGTACATTTTTTTTTAAATCAGAGTTCTGGTTAATGTAAATATATTTTCTCTCTTGAAGTTTGTGCAGCACAAAAAGAGGCAACCTATAAGTCTGATGTACATGTATATGAAAATGCATTCTGTGATTTATTTTTTCAGGTACAACATGAATGGGAACGCCATTGGTACCCTTACAGTGTATGCAGTTGCTAATGGTGTCCAAACTCCATTATGGCAGTTATCTGGTCAGCAGTCTGGACAGTGGAACTTTGGGAGAGTCTCTGTCATGAGTCCCAAGTCTAATTTTAAGGTGACTTGACATGTTGTTAATCAATACATCCAAAAGGATTTACAAAAACCAGAAACAATACACAAGTACTAGTTTTGAAGAGTTAGTTAAATTTTACTCTATTTTAGAAGAATATAATTATGCTACATTTTTTCTTCATGTTTTACCATTGTGACCATACATATAATGCCTCATAGATATTTAAGTTGAATACACCTTTTCATTTCAGTTCATTATTGAAGGACTGCGTGGATCAGGAATACAGGGAGACATAGCTATAGATGATATAAGTGTCACTCAGTCCAGATGTGCAAGTATGTTCTTTCACCTTTCGGCTTCTTTTGATTTGTGAAATAAATAGTCCAAACTTGAAATAGGCAATTCTGTACATTTTGATGAAATTGAAAACTTAACAGGAGAAATAATGAATTTTTTTTAATGTAGGACAGCCGTCAACTGCTCGACCTGTCTCCCAAACTACCACAGCAACACCAATGACCACAACAATAAGGACAACTCCTGGTCGAACCACAGCTGCAGCCAATCCATCATGTGAGTGTCCCCATCCCCAAGACATATCTGGATATATCCATATGATGCCTACACTGTACAAAAAGTCAGCTGTTTGCTTGTATGACATCATTTAAACATACCTTTAAAAAGCCAGGAAGAGCTGATGCCATAGCCTTGGTGTCAGCACTAGGGTATCATGTTCAACCATTATGACATAATTCCCAAGTAACAGTAATTTCAGCTTGGCACAAACTTGCATGGATAATGGATGTAGGATTGCCAAAGTGTTATTCTTGTAACAGTTGCAACATACATGTATATCTAATGTTCTGAATAAAATTGTATATGATAGGATGGATATTGTAAACAAAGAAAGAATTTTCATAATACAAGCATGGAAAAGGGAGATACATACTTGAGCCCTTTGAGATTAATTATATCAGAAGGTCCATATAAATGATATTGTGTCTCACCTTCATATAAAGGTATGTTAAGATCTTCCCCCTCTCCCTTAACCAACAAGTCAAGTGACTGTCATAAAATTGATTGGGATGGATTGCTAGACGCTTGGCTCTGATGATGTTTTTTTTTTTATGCATCCATCTCTCTTAATAAAGAAACATTTGTCAAGGTGTGCTGCATTATTATGTATTAAAATCTTCGATTACACTGTGCTTTGTTTTTTTAGCTGTATCCTGTACATTTGAGGGAGGTTTCTGTGGATGGATGCAGGTGAGGTCACCAACAGATGATTTTGATTGGACCAGAATGAAAGGTGCAACAAGCTCTTCTTCAACAGGGCCAAGAGGAGATCATACATCAGGAAGTAAGAACTAAACTATGTAGCAAGCTGACTGACAAGAATAACATACATGTACATGTATATGATCATAAACAAATCTGTCAAACTTCCTGATCAACAATGGAAGATGTCTGAATGTGTTTATTTTTCATTATTGCTTGCTGTATTGATCATAAATCTCTTTACTCCAGAGGGATTCTACATTTACACTGAGGCTTCTAACAGACATGTGAATGAATCGGCTCAGCTGAAATCCCCTACAATAATGCCTTCCTCCAGTGGAAACACTCGCTGCTTGTCCTTCTGGTATAGTATGTATGGGTCCAACATTGGATCCTTAAATCTTTACACACAGACTCAGTCAATACTAGGAACTCCTATCTGGACACGCAAAGGAAATAAGGGTAACCGATGGAGACGAGCTCGTGTAACAGTTAATGTGGCAGTACAGTATAATGTAAGTCAATGTGTGAAAAATTAGAGAATTTATTTTCTTGCTTTATGTGTAAGATAATATAAAGTTTGACCAATTTTGTGTGTAGATGTCATCAAGCTTGGATGTAAGTAATATGCATGTTAAAATATTGGCTTCTTGTAGTTTGTATTTGAAGGAAGATTGGGAAATGGAATTAGAGGGGATGTAGCTCTTGATGACATATCTCTTACAAATGGTGCATGTTCAGGTAAACTAAGTTGAATTTTCTTCTACTTATTGTAAATCATATTGCAGATCTGACATACCTCTACTGGTTGAACACTGGTATTTGTAAGGTGTCCATCGTCTCTATGCTTCTGTTTGTCTAGCTGTTGTCTGTACTCTGTAAAAAAATTTTTTTTTCAAAGTGCTACTTCTGTAGTTTTCATCTGATTTCAAAAAAGAAAAAAACTGTTAAAAAGCAGGTTATGTCAAGGTACATGATTTGTATGTCTCTTTTTTTTTTTAAAATTTTGTTGAACAGTGTTGGCATAGTTACCAAAAATTAGAAATTTTAATGAATTCTTTCAAAAATGCTACTACTCCAAAAGTTCAAGACCATTTCAATTTTAAAAAGTAAAAAGAATGAAGTTGACTTAACACCAAGTGCATACATGGTTACAAATAATAAAATAATGAATGGCATTCTTTCAAAATGCTACTCCTCCGACAGTTTTGGTCTGATTTCAATAATACTTGTTACACAATCAACTATACCTATGTCCATAATTCTTTTTATCAATTTTAGCTATTGATGAATGGTGTCACCATGGCTACTTCATATAAGAAAGATAATCTGTAAAAATCTTTCAAAATTGTGCTTCTTTAGTTTTGGTTTTGGTTTCAATAAAAAATGATACAAATGTAGGAAACATCAAGGTACACAATTTTTAAAGGTAGACTAAAAATAGCTTTTCTCTTGCAAATTATAAGTACATACAAGTAGAGCTACAGTCTTATTGGGACTTCTGAATTGAAGCAATCAAAACTTTAAAGAAATGGATCACCATTGTACAATTCTCTTAAGTCAATAACATAAACATAAACATTCTACTATGAATTTGCGAAATATTTGTTCTATATGAAACAGGACAAACCCAGGCCCCAGGAGTGTCCACCACACCCCCCACTACAGGGGCTGTAAGAACCTGCGGATTTGAATCCAGTAGTATTTGTGGATACACCCAGGACAGAACTGACAAATTTGACTGGAACTGGAAATCAGGAAGTACATCAACCACGGGGACTGGACCAGCAAATGACCACACCTATGGTACCTCAAGAGGTAAGGGAGATTATTGGTGTCAAGTGCCTTGTTTTACAGAAGTTGTGATAGAGATCAAAGTCTACTTTTGTGATTTAAATTTTTGGAAATTGATTTTGAATATATGTGAAGAATTCAAGGTTCATTGATCCTCTGATAAGAGAGAGATAACTCTCATTGGGATTTTTGATGTACTAAGTATTATCCCTTTAAAAAAATGTTTATTTATTTCAAATTTTGCAAGGCAGTGTATGCTAAAAATGTTTATAATTATAAATTAGATTGCCTTAGGAAAATCATTGTCATTAAAGCAAAATTTCATTTGAGTGTACAGAGGGATGATGAACCTTAAAGTGATTTTTATACAAGCATTTTTTTTTTTTTTGCAAAGTTAGTATTCATGGATTTAGAACACCTTAGATTTTGGGGTTGTGGGCTTAAGTTCTTTTGGAAAAAGGGTTAATAGCTTTTTCTGCTCTAAAAGATTGTTTAAAAAATCCAGTGTTTCTAAAAAAAATTTAAAAAGATGATATATTTTATATAAAGATATGATGATATATAAAATGAAAAAAAAGTGAAACAGTTTGTACTATTCTTCTTTTTGTAAATTTACAACGGTAAAAGAATATAAAAGAAATATTCATCCTTCTTAATTCAGGTCACTATGTATACATCGAGACTTCATCCCCTCGTCGTCCAAATGACATCGCCCGCCTCCTGTCTCCCCGCTATACAGACCGAACAGATATGTGTGTTCAATTCTACTACCATATGCTTGGTAATGGAGTTGGAACACTCAATGTCTATGCAAAGGTATGAAGAAGTTGTATTAAAGGAAGATCATTAAAATTAAAATAACACTGTTAAAGACAAGTTTAAAGATTTGGATTTTCTTTTTTAGAAAAATTATTTCTATTGTTAGTGAAGTTTTTTTCTAATCGACAGGTCGGATCAAATTTGGGTAGTCCACTATTTACCCTTCAGGGAAATCAAGGAAATAGCTGGACCAAGGGACAGATGAGTGTACCTCAGGGCACCGCTTCCCAGGGATACAAGGTGTCTTACTGATTTCACAGCAGAGATGCATCCTTTATTTAGATTATTTCTTTAAAAAAAAAATGGCTTTAATTTGTTGTGAAATCCAGGAATGTTAAAGGCATTGCAAAAAGGAATTGCTTTCTCATTGATAAATATTTTGATAAAAGGCAAGGAGGTAATACTGGAAATCTTTCTTTTTTTCAGGTTGTGTTTGAAGGCATAAGGGGAACTAACTACAGAGGAGATATAGCCATTGATGATGTGTCATTTACAAAAGGAACTTGTACTACAGGTATCTGTGAATGTAGATTTAAAGCCCAGAGTCCTTTTTGTTCACAAAATACTCAGGTATCAAAATAAAAGAAGAAATGGGAGTTTTAACTACTTTGAACCAAATAGCCCTTTTTTAAAAATAATTTTTCTTAAAGGCATCTAGTAAAGAGTACTAACAGAATTGATTAATTTTATGAAAGAAAGGTTATTTACCACTGCTTATTAACAGGAACCTGTGATTTTGAAACTGATCTATGCAGCTGGAATAACCCAGCAAGTGGCGATGATTTTGATTGGATCAGAAATCAGGGAGGTACCAGAACCTCAAGTACAGGACCTGTGGCTGACCACACCCTGGGAACTCGACAAGGTCAGGGTTGTGCATGACTTCAAGTAGCAATTTAATGGAAATAATTTCATTACAAAATATATACAGTAAATATCTCATTATTGGTGTTTCTTTTGGGAAAAAAAAGTCATTGCTATTTTTATGAGCATGATTTCATGATCATGCACTGTAAACATTCCTGCAGCAAATATTTTTCATTATGTAAAAATGAGACAAGAACAGTAAGTTTTGGGAATCATTTTCCCCCCTAAAGAACATGACTTTTTCATAGATTTTTTTTTTTTACAATTATAAATGTATAAACACTATTTGACATATTAAATGCTTTATTTTATTTTTTTGATGCAGGACATTATGTCTACATTGAGACTTCTGCACCTCGTCAGCCAGGAGACACTGCCTGGTTAGTCAGTAACACCATGCCTCCTACAACAGCTGGTTGTATCAACTTCTGGTATAATATGAAGGGACAGACTATAGACACGCTCACTGTGTACTTGAAAATACCAGGTAAAGAGATCTTCTGTTCACAATCAACAATTAATGAAAATAATGTATCCCAGATACTCAGATAGAAAAAAATCCTTAACATACATTATTATTTTTTTTTTTATTTATATGATTTAAAATGGGTACAGTTTTTTTTTTTCTAAAATGAATCATGACAGTGCCTGTTTTTAAAAATTTGATGGAATGTAAACAACCTCTTTATGGATATATACATGTACATATTTGATATGTACTTCTATATTGTTTTGCTAATATCTTTTAATATATCATATTGAAGGTGGTGGAAATCAAACACTGTGGGTTCTGCAGGGTAACCAGGGTAATCAGTGGTTGAATGGACAGGCCCCTATCTCATCCAAACAGAACTATAAGATTGTATTTGAGGGACGTAGAGGACGGAGTTACACCGGGGACATAGCACTGGATGACATCACCTTCTCCAATCAAAACTGTGGCTGTAAGGATAAATTATTTTCTGTTAATCTTCTGTATCCTTCTTTGATCACAGATCTGATAGTAAAGTGATTGTATCACATTAAGTGCTAAACCTAGGATATATTTTATTGTGCAGTTACAATTCCCCCCCCCCCCCAAAAAAAAAAAAAAAAACATGGACATTTTTTAATGTAAAACTTTATCAACATGCTTTGCAAATTATTTAAGGTGCCTAAAAGTTTAAGCCACATAGAATTTATCAAAAATTGATTTAACAAATATACTTGTTTATAGTACAACCTACTAAAGCCAGCCCACCCCAAGTGACAGGAACTACACCAATGACCACGACTGTTGCCCCTAACAATGGACCATTTAACTGTCAATTCACCACTGGCTTGTGTGGATGGACCCAGAGCACCACAGATGACTTCAACTGGACACGGAACAGAGGACCCACAGTCAGCTCTGGCACTGGACCTCCGAGTGACCACACCGGTGGTCAGTATACCATCTACTCAGATTAGTCTATTAAAAATTGTAATATATGACTTTCTATGTTATGTACCCGGAAGTTTAAGTTGCAATAAATCATCTTTCAAATGATATATGGAAATTTGATTTTAATAATTGATAAACTTATGAATTTTTTTGTCTTCTTTAGGGGGTTACTACATTTATACTGAGGCTAGTTCCCCAGCCAAGCCAGGACACAAGGCACAGCTTATCAGTCCCAATGTCCAACCTCCAAGTCAGGGCCAAATGTGTCTCAAATTCTGGTACTACATGTATGGACGAAATGTGGACAATCTGAATGTATATGTACAGGCTGGTCTGGTAATGCCCTCTCAACCAATCTGGAAAAGAAGAGGAACACAGGGCAGAAGATGGAATTTAGCCTCCGTGGACATCAGTGCCAAGAGTGTCTTTAACGTAAGAATACTCAGTCATGATGCCTGCTAGAGCTAAACAAAACAGAGATATGATCATAGAAAGAGTAGATGGATATCACTATTATTTAGATTAATCTATCTCTATCAATTCTCTTTAGTGTTGCAATTAAATAATTTAGAAGTATTATATAAACTTCCTGAAATACCTGTTTTATGACAGGTAATCCTAGAGGGTACAAGAGGAGCTGGGTATTTAGGTGATATTGCTGTTGATGATATTTCAATAGCTAATGGAACATGTTCACAAGGTATGGTAACGCTGATTTAAATGCTTCTTTTATACACGTACATCACTACACTTAACTAACTGTCTGATGTGGAAATAAATGAACTGCTTTAAATCAGGACTGGTTTTGAAGTAGGCATATTCTTCACAGGAACAACTCCCTCCCCCACAACAGGACTCAGCAGCTGTACTTTTGAGGACAATAAATTCTGTGGCTTTGTACAGGACACAACAGATAGATTTAACTGGCGGTGGGGTAGTGGCCGATCCTCGTCCACCAATACTGGACCCCTCAGTGACCACACCTATAAAACGGCAGCTGGACATTACATGTTCACACAAGGATCCTCCCAACCCCGAGGTCGCAAAGCTCGACTGATCAGCCCTATCTACCTGGCTAATGCTCAGCCAGTGTGTGTGAAGTTTTGGTACAACATGTATGGGACAGGTGTAGGAACACTCAATGTCTACAAAAAGGCCAGCGGTGTGTTAGGAAGACCTCTCTGGAAATTGTCAGGTATTTTTGCCCTTCATTTTTCTGTGTGAAATATTGATAATTTAATTTATAACATGACTAAAGTTAGTGTTGTGGCTCAGAGGCATCTTATTTTGAAGGTACAAAAAAGTTTAGTAGAATTTATATAGATATCTTTTTCACATCAGGCTCACAAAGTAGGGATTGGAGGGAAGCTTCAGTAACCATTCCCTCTGGGTCAGCATACAGAGTGGTATTTGAGGTAGTGAATGGAAACAGAAGGGGAGACATTGCAATAGATGATTACTCAGTGACACCAGGATCCTGTGGAGTTAAAGGAAACTGTAATTTTGACAATGGATTTTGCACTTACACCAATGATCATGCCTTTGATACTTTTGACTGGACTCTGGGTCATGGGTCCACCGCCAGCAGAAATACTGGGCCCACGAATGACCACACTCAGGGAAATTCTAATGGTAAGATAACTGTCTATGGAAGAATTTAATCTCTTTTAAATACACTGTACACTATACATGTCTTTTTTTAAAAATTGCAGGTCCTTCAAAATATTGTGAATGTGAAATTTCTAGAATTTTGGGATTCAAAATTTTTTGACAGTTCTTATTTAGAGAATTAATTTTTGATAATTTAGGGAAGTGGAAGTGTATTTTAGCATACAATTTCATCTCTAGGTCAATATCTGTACATTGAGGCTTCTAGTCCCCGACACCCAGGAGACAGAGCCACTCTCAACAGTGAGATGCTGAGCTATACGGGCCACCAGTGTATGACATTCTGGTATCATATGCATGGCGCTAACATTGGAATTTTAAGAATCTGGATCCTCCCCAATGGAACAGTGAATCCCATCCCACTTTGGGAGCTACAGGGTGAACAAGGAACTCAGTGGAAACAGGGACAGATTGCATTGCCCAAACAAACTGGAACATTCATGGTAAGAAAATGATGAGAACAATTTTAATCTTTTAAAGTAATTTTATTAAAAACTTGTAGCCCTTATAAAGATCTGTTTTTTTTCTTCTTCACTTTTAATAAAATGTTCTTCACTCCAAATAATGTTCACGTTCCAGATGCTGATTATGGGAACTGTTGGTAATGGGGTTTTTGGAGACATTGCAATAGATGACATTTCCTTTTCTTCAAATGTTGGATGTTCACGTAAGAGATATTCAGTAAATTCTTGAGCAACATTAAATGTAAATTGCCCTTGAATTGTTTTTATAAATGCTGCATGTATTATCCACCTATTGTATGCTGATGGTAATACACATAATAAATGAAAACTGCCTGTGGTGTTATTCTTGATTTATTTTTTATATGCCGGTTTTTGATTTTTTTGACATATAGGTATGCCAAGCAATGCTGTCCCCACTGTGACTCAGAAACCCACCACAGTCAGCACCACACCTACTACCAGCACCACTCTGTCAACCACCACCACCACTGCAGCCACCACTGCCAGACCTACAGGTATAATGTATTTCTTAATAATGGAGAAAAATAGAAATAAAACAATTTTCAGGTCACTCAAGTTATCATAGTGGATATAGGAAAAAAGATATTTTTAAAGCCTCACTTATACTTCTCATCCAAAATTAGGGGTTACTGGCCATAGGAAACAATTTGAAATTCCTAGAGTTTTTGTGGTTAATGTTTTATAAGCCTTATTTTTGGTATCCTCCGTAGGAGGAAGCAGCTTTGCCTGTGATTTTACCTACGACTCCTGTGGGTGGACTCAAGACAAATCGGACAATTTTGATTGGACAAGGAAGATGGGGACAACATCTTCAGTTAATACTGGACCAAATGGAGACCACACAACAGGAAGTAAGAATTGTTTAAATCTCATTCCTCAAATATTTCTTGTCAACAAGAAACCAGAAATTCCCAGAATGATGAAATGTACATGTATTTGTACTCAATCTCAAGGAAGGCTTTTCGTCCAAAAGATGTCAAAAGTAAGTTTGGTAAGAAATGTTTCTGATTTCTCTTGTCATTATGTTGAAACATAATAAGAATGATAAAATGATATTGCTTCATGTGTTGTATAATGTATGTGCATTTTTTTGGTGTGTTTGTACCCTTAATGTGCAAATATGGCTCCTTTACATATATAGAATTGAATTTCCTAAATTATTATTATTTCATTCGACCATGCAATGTCTTTTTATTTCCTAGCATACATGTAACATACATCTGTGAAAAGAAAAATGAAGAATGGTTCTCGAAAGCAGAAAATTTTATTTATAGTCTGATTTCTTAATCATAAGACATCTTTGTCTTGTTTGTTTGTTATTATTGATAGTTTTAAGAAAGAAAAATATAAGCTTTCCCTTGAACCTTTATTAATCCTTGAATTGTCTTTTTATTAAACAGAAGGCTATTACTATTACGTGGAGGCCTCTGCCCCCCAGGTTGCTGGTATGAAGGCTCGCTTTATAAGTCCCGTTGTCCAGTTAACTGCAGGAAGCCAAAAGTGTTTTACCTTCTACTACAGCATGTATGGAGATCATGTTGACAATCTGAACATTTATGTGAAAAAAGGTGGTGCACTTGGATCAGCTGTTTGGACCAGAAAGGGTGAACAAGGAAGTCAGTGGAAACAAGGCCAAGTAACTATTAATGGACCTGGGCCCCTCAATGTAAGTTTGATTAAAGAGGAATATTTTTTAGATTATGCACTTGTTAAGGATAAATTCAAACAAGGTTACTGTGTTTTCTTTTAATGAATGAATGAAAATTGATGTGAATTTTCAGGTGGTCGTTGAAGGCACCAAAGGCACAGGTTACAGAGGTGACATTGGCATTGATGATGTAAATATAACAACAGGAGCTTGCAGTGGTTTGTAAATTTTGTTCATATTGTTACATTGTGTAGTCTACAATTTGATCTGTTGAGTAACACTATATTAGAACTCAGTTCCTGAAGTACCATGTAATAATATGTGATCTTAAATTTACAGATTATGTTGCAGCAAATAAATTGCATTATTTTGAATTGCAATTTGAACTTAATGTTTGAAATGTTTCATCCATGTTTTGTGGCTTACAAGACAGTTATGGTAGAAAGTAAACTTTAAACAATTTGTTCCTGATATATGAATGCTCAGAAGTCCCTGTTAGTTGTATTTCTAAAACCCATGCATTTCCGTTTTTCCCCTGAAGCTTCTTTCATTTCATAATTATATTTGTACAGGTCAGAATTTGAATACAACAGCCAACCCTAACACTGCCACAACAATCCCACAGCTGAGCTGTAATTTTGAGTCTCAGTCGATCTGTAACTACCACCAACTGTCCTCAGGACTTCAGTGGAAGTGGCAGAAAGGTGGCACACCATCTGCCAACACTGGACCCTCAGCTGACCATACCACAGGGACAGCCACAGGTAAAGCATTAGTACTGACCACACCACAGGGACAGTCACAGGTAAAGCATTAATACTGACCACAGCATAGGGACAGCCACAGGTAAAGCATTAATACTGACCACACCACAGGGACAGCCACAGATAAAGCATTAATACTGACCACACCACAGGGACAGCCACAGGTAAAGCATTAATACTGACCACACCAGTCACATGTGAAGTACAATGTCATGTCTTTTGGATGTGTCACAGGTAAAATACTATCATTGACAACACCATGATTTGTTGTACAGGTCATTACATGTATACTAATTTGTTATACAGGTCATTACATGTATACTAATTTGTTATACAGGTCATTACATGTATACTGATTTGTTATCCACGGCAGGTCATTACATGTATACACTGATTTGTTATCCAGATCATTACATGTATAAACTGATTTATTATCCAGATCATTACATGTATACTGATTTGCTATACAGGTCATTACATGTATACAGATTTGTTATCCATGTCATTACATGTATACTGATTTGTTATACAGGTCATTACATGTATACTGATTTGTTATACAGGTCATTACATGTTTACTGATTTGCTATATAGGTTATTACATGTATACACTCATTTGTTATACAGGTCATTACATGTATATTGAGGCCTCTGGAGTAAGAAACCAAGTGGCAAAGCTGTATTCATTACAAGAAACACAAACTGGGCCCACCTGTATTACCTTCTGGTTCCATATGTATGGACAGAATATTGGAACACTGAATGTCTACACTAGACAAGGCAACGATGGCAGTCCAGTGTGGAGCCGACAGCGAAACCAAGGCAACAAATGGAACCTGGCTCAAATCTCCATAAACCCCTCAAGCCCATACACGGTAAGTAGACGGAGTTTTTAATGACTCTTAACATATTTATTTGACAGTGTTCTTGTTTTAAAGCTTTTGTATCTTAGCATTCTTCTTTTTAATTTATGAATTCCTTCTTTGTGCTTAGAAATGAAGGACCATAATTTAAAGTGTACTAATTTTTGATCATCACTAATTATGTTTACAATGAAATATGTGATGCATTTTTATTACACCAAAGCAAGTGTTTATAGTATTTGTATTTTTTAGAGAAATTAAAGAATTTGAAATGTGATATCATTTTGATGTAGCTTGTGTTTGAAGCAAAACATGGTAATGGTTACCAAGGAGATATTGCTATTGATGACATTGTAGCCAAACCAGGAAGATGTGGAAATCCAGGTACTGATCGTGTTAAAAAACTACAGTCAAATCTTGATATCTCAAACTCGATGGGACTGAGAAAAAACTTAGAGATATCTGTGGATTTGAGATATCGTGGGTAAAATACTTAAAAAATAAGTGTTTTGGATTTCCAAATCACTTTGACATTGTATTGTGTTCGAGATATCAGTTTTCAAAATACCAAATTTCAACTGTAGTCTAATTAATACTTACATGTACCTATTTCAAATATGTTTTTAATTAATGACTATAATTATACTACTTTCTAACAGGTGCTTGTAGCTTTGATCAGCGAAATTTCTGCACTTGGCAGAATGTCAGGGGTACTGATGATTTTGATTGGTCGATTCATGGTGGGGGTACAGCATCAAGAGGTACTGGTCCCTCATCAGATCATACTCTTCATAATAGTAAAGGACTATATGCTTACATAGAGACCAGTGCCCCAAGGAGACGAGGGCAGAAGGCACAACTGATAAGTGCTTCTCAAGCCCCCACTGGAATCTCTGGCAAGTGCTTCAAGTTCTGGTATCACATGTATGGCAGAACCATGGGAACACTGAATATTTACTCTTCTAAAAATGTCTCTTCTAACACATTGCTATGGACTCTCAGTGGTAACCAAGGAAACCAATGGAGGTCTGCTCAGTTATCTGTTACCAGCACCCAGAGCTTCAATGTAAGTCAAACATAATCAGATGGTTTAGCTACTATTTGTATATCCTATTAATACAAAACTGAAAGTAAGATGTATTTACTTATGTCTAAGTGAATCTTTAAATGAATTTAATATTTTAGATGATCATTGAAGGAATAGTGGGTAGCTCTATCACTGGTGATATTGCCATAGATGACCTTTCTTTCTCTAATGGAGCGTGCGGATTGTCCCCAGCAAAGGCTCGGCCAAGTTCTGTCACCATGACTACTGTACCTCCCACTACCACTCGGCTTGTTACAGCAACATCTAGTTAGTCAATGGCATAAAAACTGAAACAGTTTTAAACTTTGTTTCAACAAATTCAAGTTGGTTAATGAGATAAAAACTGATACAGTTTTAAATTTTGTCACAATAAGTTAAGTTTGTCCATATCCATGTAATACATGTATGGTATTTTTTTTTCAGAAATTTAAACTTGAATTCAATATTTTTCAGCCTTGGGAACTTTCAACTGTAACTTTGAAAGTAATTTGTGTGGTTGGACTCAAGGCAGAGGAAGGGACACTTTTGACTGGACTAGACATAAGGGGGCCACTTCATCAGTCAACACTGGACCTCCGAGAGACCACACCTCAGGAAGTGAGTTCGAAGAGTATATTTTTGTTGTACAACCAATCAGTACAAGATTATGAACATTTTTTCTGAAGTAATGTTACTCTGTTGTAAAGGAGGATACTATGTGTACATTGAGGCCTCAGCTCCTCGCCGCCCTAATGACACCGCCCAGCTGGTCAGTCCTGCAGTGGCAGCGTCCAGTAACCCCCGCTGTCTGACCTTCTGGTACTTTATGTATGGAGCCCATGTCAACCGTCTGAATGTGTACATACCCGCTGGAGCCAATTTAGGTACCCCTATCTGGACACGGAAAGGAACTCAGGGAAATCGCTGGAATCAGGCCCAAGTCACTATCAACAAAAACAAACAATTCAATGTGAGTGTGGATGACAAATGTGGATAAATTTATTCTGTATAATATTATTTTAAACAACTTGATTTTTTAAGAGGATTCACTTATTTGTTATGTTGCTTATTTTTGTATTTATTGTAAATATTAGATGTCTTGTAATGATCTGAATAATACAGGATTATTGGATGATTAAGTACTGATCTATTTTTTATTACACAGGTCATCTTTGAGGGTGTACGAGGTAATGGTGTCTTTGGAGACATAGCTGTAGATGACATCTCTCTGGCTTCCGGGGCCTGTGGAGGTCAGTGTACAAAGGCTCTAAAACCAGTTGTAATGCTTCTTAACTTTTCAATTCAGAGAATTACACTGTATACAGGGTTATATTTGTCATTTCACACATGCAAATAATTTTTTCCCATTTCTAATTTACCAGATACAGTTATGTTTCTTCCTTGAATTTCCTTCATTTCAATTTGCCTACCTATAATGAGGGGGCAAAGAGATGAAACTAAAACAGGGCAAACATTTTCCTGCATACAGAATTTAAACATTCCTTGTCCATTATCAGATATGCATATTACATCAATAGCTATAACATTAAGTCCATGTACATAGTAATGTGCTGGTGATGTATATACCACTCATTAAACCATATAACTTTAATAGTTTGTCTTACAGACATGATTTTGCTTTAGGTTCTACAGCAGCTCCAGGAGCCTTGCCTACCAAATGTACCTTTGAGGATGTTTACATCTGTAACTACATACAGGATTTGACTGATAACTTTAACTGGACACGCCAGGCTGGATCCACCACTAGCAGTAACACTGGTCCATCTGCTGACCACACGTATGGTACAGCCAATGGTCACTACATGTATATTGAGGCCTCTTCTCCTGTCCGACCTGGTCAGAAGGCTAGACTGTTAACTCCAGTGTATCCCTCAATTCATCAAGATCAGTGCCTGCAGTTCTACTACCACATGTATGGAAGACAGATAGGCACACTCAATGTTAAGGTATGAAGTCAGGCAATGTAAAAAATGTCATATAGGCCCACTCAATGTTAAGGTATGAAGTCGGGCAATGAAAATATCCAGTCAGACAGAAACTAGACACAGAAATGTCCCCAAGTTGTCAATTATGCGAATCCATGTAAAATAACATACAACAGGGTTTGATTCCATGATGCATTTTTATTTCAATAGGCAAGATGTGGTATGCAAAGAATTATTAAAAAAAAGTTAGTGAAAATTACTCCATGCACATTACAATGTATTATTAATAAGAAATGAAGTAAAGGCCATGTACTTTACATTTCCTCTTTCACAAGAGGTTATAACTAATGACTATTATATTTGGAAATCTTTTTTCTCAGCTGATATTACCTACAAACAATGCTGTAGGAGCAAGCATTTGGACCAAGACTGGGAATCAAGGAAACAAGTGGAATGTTGCTCAAGTAACTCTGCAGAACACTGCGATAAACACACCCACCTATCAGGTAAAACAAAAAAGGGAGACAATATTTAATTAAACCTCTATTTGTATGTTTATGTATATACTGTATATTTTAACAGTCTCTGGACGTGCTTTATTTATGTTAAGTTAAAGCTGCTTTACCTTTATGTGTATATGTACATCTTATTGATTTACAGCAGTTGAATTTAATATTTTGTTGCTTTATTAATATATTTTTTTTTCTGAGTATTAACATCAATAATATTTTTTTTTTGAACAGGTAGCTTTTGAGGGGGTAAGAGGGACAGGATACCTCAGTGACATCGCCATTGATGATGTCTCCATTGTCAATGGATCATGTCAGTCCCCTGGTTGGTATTTTTTTCAGACACTTAAATTGACTTGAAAATTGAAAAAAATAAGTAATGTTGAAGTTTTAAAGATTAGCCATAGATAAGCATTAGATGTAAAATGCACTTCTTCAGTCTCTTTGAAGAATTACTGTAAAGTGGAAGAATAAGTATAATCTAGATATATGGATGTCTAAGCGAATTTGAATTTACTATAAAGTCTAATGATTATACATGTACATATATGTACCACATCTTTATTGAAAATTTTTCAGAGAATTTAGGCAGTGGTGGTTCATGCATGAAAATTAACTTTATGAAATTATTTATAAATACCCCAAATAAATCAGTCTCCTTCACTGTGGATTCTTTGTTTGTAGGGAGCTGTGACTTTGAGAAAGGTCGATGCACATGGACAGAGGCTCAGTCTGGAGATGACTTTGATTGGAAACAGGGGTCAGGTCGTACAACCTCTGGAGGAACAGGCCCCACCAATGACCACACCTTACAGAGCACTAATGGTTAGTCTTATGCTGCATACATAGTTGTGTACAGTTTATAAATATTCATTTTAGTTTCAGGCAGATATTTTGTTTGCTTAAGGAAGTTCCAAAGCAGAAATTAATTTTTTAAATAAAAATCTCTTTTTAGGTCACTATTTGTACCTTGAAGCTTCTTCCCCAAGAACTCAGGGAGACAAATGTTGGCTGGTTAGTCCACGGTTCTCAGCCAATCAAAACAAGTGCTTTCAATTCTGGTACAACATGAATGGGCGTAGCATTGGTACTCTCAATGTGTACATCCTATATCCTGATGCAGGCACCAATAACACTGTGTGGTCGATCAGTGGAGATCAAGGAGACAAATGGGTACAAGGTCAGGTGCCAGTCAGTGCAAGGACAACATATCAGGTAGGTGCCTTCAATGTGATATCATATGTATCATTGTTATCCTTTACAGGTCTAACTAAGGGCCACCTTTCCATCAACACCAATTGATCAACCAGCTTACAATTCCATTTATCTGTTGTTGTGAGATAAAGTGATGGACAATAATTTATTCTTCTATGTCTGACCATTTCTAGCATTCTTTTTCCTTTGCATTTATATATTTCTTATTCAATGCAAACATATGTATGCTGTCCTTTCTGCCTCACTGAAAAGTGGCATATAATGATGGGTAATGTCACAATGATAGCTAATTCATGTAAAACATAAAAGTTTACCATAAAAAGACAACACAGTAAAAATTCTTTATAATTAAATGATGAATGAGCCAATGTTATGTTTTTGATTAGGTTGTGGTAGAGGGAGTAAGGGGAAATGGATTTGCTGGAGACATTGCTATTGATGATGTGTCATTCTCTTCAGCAACATGTGGTAGTAAGTATTTCGGGATGACTACCTTCAGTATCAATGAACACAAATCACAATCTTTGTGTTAAATGTGGGTGGCTATGGCTTCAGTTTTACATGGATGCTGTTTGATTTTTTTTCAGTCAGTCCACCGAATGCCGCCCCAGCAGGAGGGAACAATGTTACAACTACACCAGTCACGACTTTGGCCTCAACCCAACCAGGTAGGAACAAGCCGTTAAAACCAGATATGTCAATAAAATTATCTGTATTCCATTTGTCTTTTGTGTCAGAAATCTTTTGTTTTTGTGTCGTAACAGTTGACTTCATTGTAGCATTTTTTTTTTACCATACTTTACTTGCAGTTCAAGGTCAGCTGAACTGTGATTTTAGCAGTGGACCATGTCTCTGGACACAGGACAAAACTGACCAATTTGATTGGACAAGAAAGAGTGGTTCTACAGCCACTGTAAACACTGGGCCTCCATCTGACCACACACAAAAAACATCAGGTGAGGAGATTCCAGTTAATGGTACATCCATTGTCTCATCTCTCTAATTCTGTCACTGCTTTTCTTTATCTTGGAGTGTATCCCCTACATAATCAGCTTTTTATATTTTCTGAATCAAATTTTAGAAGTACCGGTATACTCCTCTGTGACTGCAGCTTCATTTTTTCTCCTGTATCTACCTGTTTTGTATAAAACTTACCTGATTTGTTACAGCTGGTTTCTACTACTACATTGAGACATCGGCTCCTCGTCACCCCGGGGACAAGGCACGGTTCATCAGTCCACAGATTGCACTTTCACAGTCAGACAGTAACAAGTGTTTCTCGTTCTGGTACTACATGTATGGAGATCATGTGGACCATCTCAATGTCTATATGGACTCTGGTAATGGCCTAGGACAGCCTGTCTTCACAAAACAAGGGACTCAGGGACAAAAATGGATTCAAGCCTCCATCACTCTGACTCCAAAAGTTCCATTCCAGGTAGGAGGAATTATCAGAGACTTATGCATGAAGTAAAACTTTGGTTGGTCATATTTTTTTTAATTTTATTTAATTCTGTATCTTGGAACAAATTCATTAAGTACTGATTTTTTAATAAATAGATGGTGATTGAGGGAGTTGTTGGTAGAAGTTATCGAGGTGATATTGCCATTGATGATGTTTCAATGTCAGATGGTATTTGCTCTTCTCGTGAGTATCTCTTATTGAGATATACATTATAGTACAAGTACATGTATTTCATAATTTGTCAATGCACATGTATAGCAAAATTCAATTTTCTTAAGCAAAAATATGATAGCTTACATGTAAAATAAATTTAAAAAGCCTATGATTATTCTGAATGATTTTTTTCTAAATTTTGCTCAGCTTTCTACAGTCTTCTGAATTGTGACTTTGAACAAGCTGACCTATGTGATTACTCAAATATCCATGACAACAACACAGATGTGTTTGATTGGTTCAAAGCCTCAGGTACCACAGGGTCACAGGGAACTGGACCTAGCAGTGACCACACCTACGGAACAGCAGCTGGTATGGATAGTATTTCTCACAAACTCTTGATATTGGATGTTTATTGTAACAATTCATGTTTTAGAATAAATATGTGTTTATCTTGGAATACTAGAGAAGGTATAAGTGAAACATTACTCCTGATTTTTTTTTGGGTAGGTCATTATATTTACATTGAGGCCTCTGCACCACGTAAACCAGGAGACAATGCTATGCTGACATCCGGCACACATCCCTCTCCTAACTCGGATCAGTGCTTTGAGTTTTGGTACAATATGTATGGCGCTGAGACCGGGACACTGAATCTATACATCAGATACGGCAGCAACCTTGGAAGCCCTGTCTGGACTAAACAAGGTTAGAAACCTCACTTAAAATGTCAGGATGCAATAAAGCAATAAAAAAAGGGTGGAAAACTATCCTGAAAAATTACTCTTAGATAGGACATTTCAGATTTGAAAATATTTTCATGATACTCTCTTTAAATCTCACTGATTGAAAAATTAAAATAATTATTAATATGTACTACTGTGAGTGGGGAAAATAATTTGCTGTGTTAGTGTTTGTAATATATGCAGACTCTATCCATAAAGTCATTAATTCTGAGTAAAATTATTATGTGACTGTGTATATGTAGCAATGAAGGCCTCTTTCATAATGGCATTAATTCTATCCTATTCAGTTGGATATTGGAGAGATAGTCAAACTTAAATATTCACATAAAAAAAAGAAGAAAAACAATGCACATATTTCAAAGTGACAAATTGTGTGCACATATCTGTTTTCTAATTTTAGCTGCTATTCTACATTCATTGAATTAGCTCATTTCTGTAGGAGACCAGGGTCAGCGCTGGATTCGTGGTCAGTTTGGTGTCAAAGCCAAAAGTCAGCCATTCAACATTGTGTTTGAAGGAATTCGGGGAAGTGGCTACAGAGGAGATATAGCTTTAGACGACTTCAAATTACGAAATGGACTCTGTAGCACAATGAATTCTGGTAAACTTTGAAAGTTATTAGTGCAAGTTTTCTTTCATTTCTTGTTTTGAATGGATGAATTTAAGAGAATTGATAAATTCTATTAAAATGTTGATTCTGTTTTTTCACATCTGACAGGTAACTGTGACTTTGAGATTGACAAGTGCAGCTGGTCAGATTTACACTCAGGAGATGATTTTGATTGGTTGTCTGGAAGTGGTTCCACCACAAGTTCTTCGACAGGACCAAGAAATGACCACACCACAGGCAATGCTACAGGTATTGACTGTAAACTAACTTGAATTCATGGACAAACATTGTTCTTAAGGTTCAATTTTACATCATTCTGCATTTAATGATATATGCAATGTCATATTGTGGACTTGTTTGCAAGTAGTAATAAGGAAAATGACTTTTGCAGTGGTAATAAATATAATGAACATGGATAAAATTAAGGTTAACAGTTTCTTTGCAGAAATATATTTATGCTAAAAATTGCTAATAGTATGTGATCAAGTCATGTAATTATTAATGAATTGAATTACTTTCAAAAGGCAAGTACCTGTTCATTGAGACATCAGCACCTCGTAGTCCTGGAGATAGGGCTGTCCTTCAGAGTGCCACCTTCCCATCCACCACCGGTCAATGTATGCAGTTCTGGTACAACATGAATGGTGCCACCATAGGGTCACTTTATGTCAGTGTCCTGAGTCAAGGCTCTAGCACCCCCACAAAAATCTGGGAACTGTCCGGCACTCAGGGGAGTCAGTGGAAACAGGGCCAAGTCAATATTGTCAGTAACAGTCCTTACAAGGTGAGTGACAAAATGGAATGTCAAACATTAGGTATAATAAGTTTATTTTGCTGGAAATATAAATAAATTACTTAAGTGATGTAAAATGTCAATCATTCTCCATATTTCGCATCCAAGATGAATTGCAAGGATGTAGAATACGGTAGCACTTGTCCACACATCAGAAGCAAGTAAACAAAAAGGAAAAAAAAACTCTGGGTGACACTAACACACAGTTTTTGAGTCTAAGAGATTTTTTTAAGTGAATGTCATCATTATTAACAGTTTTTTAATTTTTCGCTGTAAAGTTACTGATGACAGGAGTGAGAGGCAATGGATACACAGGAGATATTGCTATAGATGACATCTACTTTGACTTCTCGATTCCCTGTACCCTGACCCCCAGTAATGCCCAACCTTCATTGTACACCACTACAATGGCCACCACACAGGGACTATCTGTCACTGCCATTCCAGGTAAATTGTATTAGAAAGAATGAAATCTGAGGATGGATGTTTAAATGTGAAAATGCAAGAGGTTTTCAAAGGACACAATGAGGGCTATATTTTTATCCCCAATTTGAAAATTTAACCTTGAAGCATTGTAAAGTGATAAATATATTTTATGAGGTTGGATAGAGATGTAACTGAATATTTGAAGCAATTTTCAATATTCAATAAAACTTCATGTAAAACTCTTTCTCTTGTCTTTTGTAGCTGGATTCCCCTGTAACTTTGACACTGACACTTGTGGCTGGACCCAGGACAAAACAGATAACTTTGACTGGAGACGCCAGAGAGGGGCCACTGGTAGTCGTGGCACTGGCCCAACAACTGACCACACAACAAAAAGTAAGAACTGTCTCCATTATCACAACTTTTTAATAATGTTTCATCACACCGTAAACATATTACAGTTAAACTTCGTTATCTCGAAGTTGACGGGACCGTTGATGAACTTCGAGATATCCGGGGGTTCGACATATCGAGGGTTATAATTCAAATGAACTTTAAATAAACTTAGTGCAGTGAACATGTACTTAATAGTAAAAACATGTCATGTTTCTTTTTTGTTCAAAATTTTGTATACGATTTCTTTAATGTACATGTACATGTTTTTAGCAATCAAAAAAAAATTTACATCCTCTTTATAATTCACAAAATAAAAGGCTTGTATAATATGCACAGAAGTATAATCCTTCTACTAACGCGGCAAGTCAACCGCTAGCATCGTTTCCCATGTATACATAACCGGATATCGTCTATGCATTGTAAATTTAAAACCGGTCGCTGTCAGAATAACGTAAACGAAATATTCATTTTCTTTTATTGGAAAAACATGTTCACACACGTAAAATCAGTTAAAAGAAAATTATTTTACCATAATAAAATCAAATGCAAAAGAAGAATCACGCACTTTTGTCTAACTACAGAACAACACTGAATCACAGGGCACTATAGCACAAGTCTTCACTGCGACACAAGCTCACATGATGGTGTGTACGGACGATTGTAAATTCTGCACGGTCATATAGGGAAAATAAATTCTAACTGCATTGAATTTGAGAATTTTGTTTTACTTCGATGGCTATAATTTTCACTTTCATATCCATAAACTATATGTATGCTCGCATATTTCGCATAGCATTAAATAGCGATTATAAAGATAAACGTACCCAAGCCACAAAACAATTAACGTGTCATCCACGTGTATGCATTAGACTAATACACACAACCTTTGGCTTGCATAATTACGATCAAGGTAAGCCATACATACACTTCATATAATTATCGCGCTATTATCTGTTGATCACAGGAATACAGGTAACCCGAGCGTGACAGACAGGTGGGTGTTATCAATAGAGCATTCAGTTTACCTAACGGACTTGATCATCAGAGCAGAAAATTATCCTGACTTCGAGATAACGCATGTGAATTTAATGAATGGGTACACAATTTTACTTCGAGATAACCGGGGTATTCGACATTACCGTGTTCGACATAGCGGGGTTTATTTTAATCATTTATTAAGCAAAATTCGTCGGGACTGTGGCCTTACTTCGACATATCCGGGGTATTCGAGATATCCGTGTTCGAGATTTCGAAGTTTAGCTGTAGTTGAAACTGTGAATTATACCAATCTTGGGTTACATGTCTGTCAGTATGATGTTATAATTGGACAAGTCCAATTTTATCTCCTAGATGGTTATTACATGTACATTGAGACATCAGCCCCCCGTCGCCCTGGTGACAAAGCCCGCCTTATTAGTCCCCCAGTCAATGGTAACTATGCCCAGTGTGTAAGCTTCTACTATCACATGTACGGTCCACACGTCAAGGCTTTGAATGTTTACTTGGCTCATGGAAATTCCTCCCTGGGAACTCCAGTTTGGACCAGACAGGGGACACAATCCAATGCCTGGGTGATGGGACAGTTACAGATTGCTGGAGGGTCCCTCACACAGGGAGTTACTAATGTGAGTACTTTTCAGTCTTGATATTCTTCTTTGAAAAATAGAAGTAATTCTAAATATACTTCAAATTACTACGAAGTGACTTGCTATATATGAAAAGCTTTTTATGTGAAAAGATAACAAACTTTCATTAGTTTTTTAGCTCACCTCAACGAAGTTGGGGGAGCTTATGTAATACCCTCGGCGTCGGCGTCCTAGGTTAAGGTTTTTGGAGCAGTTTTCTTTTCAAGTACTTCTATGGCCTATATTAGTCAGAAATAGATGGAGGATGCTTCTAGTGTGTTTTATTGTACCAGTCAAGGTTTCAGATGCTGCAATTTCAGCTAAAGAATGACCAGGTTAATGTTTTTGGAGCAGGTTAAAGTTTTTGGAGCAGGTTAAAGTTTTTGGAGCAGGTCTCATTTCCAAGTAACTATAAGCCCTATATTGACCAAACTTGCATGGATGATACATCTAAGGATGCACACTACTGTACTTGCTTTGGATGCTGGATCTGACCTACATTTTCTGGATGAGTGACTAGGTTAAAGTTTTTGGAGTAGATCTCATTTCCAAGTAACTATAAGCCCTATATTGACCAAACTTGCATGGATGATACATCTAAGGATGCACACTACTGGACTTGCTTCAGATGCTGGATCTGACCTATATTTTCCGGATGAGTGACCAGGTTAAGGTTTTTGGAGCAGATCTCATTTACAAGTAACTATAAGCCCTAAATTGACTAAACTTGCATGGATGATACATCTAAGGATGCACACTACTGGACTTGCTTCGGATGCTGGATCTGACCTATATTTTTGGGATGAGTGACCAGGTTAAAGTTTTTGGAGCAGATCTCATTTCCAAGTAACTATAAGCCCTATATTGACTAAACTTGCATGGATGATACATCTAAGGATGCACACTACTGGACTTGCTTCGGATGCTGGATTTGACTTACATTTTCCGGATGAGTGACCAGGTTAAAGTTTTTGGAGCAGATGTCATTTCCAAGTAACTATAATAAGCCCTATATTGACCAAACTTGCATGGATGATACATCTAAGGATGCACACTACTGGACTTGCTTCGGATGCTGGATCTGACCTACATTTTCCGGATGAGTAACCAGGTTAAAGTTTTTGGAGCAGATCTCATTTCCAAGTAACTATAAGGCCTATCTGAACCAAACTTGCAAGGATGATGCATCAAAGGATGAACAATCTCAAAACTTGCTTCGGATGCTGGATTTGACTTACATTTTCTGGATAAGTGACTAGTTTTAAGTTTTCAGATAAGTCTATTCCCAAGTAACAGCAAGCCCTATCAGACCAAAATTGCATAAATGTTGCATCTAGGGATGCACACTCCTAGATTATTAGTTTAGTGTGGGACTTTGCCTTACTTAAAGACAACATTCGTTGAGGTGAGCTCTGTAATCTCTGATTACCTATGTTTGAGGTAAAAGTATGTACCTTGAAAGTTTAAATTCTTCTTTTCTGAAAAACAGGTGGTCTTTGAAGGTGTTCGTGGTATCAGTTACCTTGGAGATATTGCAATTGATGATGTGTCTCTCACAGCTGGAAGTTGTTCAGGAGGTATTTAATATGCTTCAAACAGAGTATGGGTATATAGTTGAAATTTATCACATTTTAAATTAATTGGCTCGGTGTGATTTTTACAGTTACTCCAGTTCCAAGTCCTGGCTCCACAGTCTCCAACATTGACTGTAACTTTGAAAATGCCAACATCTGTAACTACACACAAGACACAACTGACCGTTTCAACTGGACTCGTAAAACTAGAACCACCAACTCCAGATATACGGGACCAACAAATGACCATACATATGGCACACCAGCAGGTAAAAGAATTGAATGCATTTTACTTCTGTATTCCATGATAAAGTAACTCTTATGCCATGATAAATAGAAATGTAGCAATGGATACTGAAATGAATGTTATATTTTATAGCAAGATATCTCAGTTAGTTGAAGTCTAAAGAGTTATATAAGAGTCTGATTTTAAGTAAAATACCATGACTTTTTATTGAATGAATGTCTTCAATTTCAGGTCATTTCATGTACATCGAGACCTCATCTCCCCGTCGACGTGGAGATGCAGCCCGATTATGGACCCCAAAATTTAACCCTCAGGCTGGTCAGTGCATCTCCTTTTGGTACCACATGTATGGCAGAACCGTGGGAACACTCAATGTGTACTCTGCAGATCAGACATCAGCTAAGCCTGTCATCGGCTCTCCTATCTGGTCACTGTCTGGTAACCAAGGAAATGCCTGGATGCAAGAATATGTCAGCCTACCAACTCCCACAGTAGCCAGTGTGAGTCATCTGTTTATTGTTTTATAAATATTCTTTTTTTTTTTCCATGTATGACATTTTCGGTGAAACGAATAGAAAGTTGAATGCCTGACCTATGTAGTGAAATACCTTTTGTCAAAATTAACATTAGAATTATTCTAAACATTTTTAATTATTTAACTGGAAGAATTCACTTTGTGTCCTTGGCAGAAAGTTCTTTGCATATAGAAATAAATGATATTCCAATGTCCCAATGTTGAATTGTAGGTTGTGTTTGAAGGAGTGGTTGGAAATGGTTACCTTGGTGATATTGCTATTGATGATGTCAAACTTGTGTCCAGCTGCCCTAATCCAGGTAAGTCTTCAGGCATTGCAGTTCTTCCCGTGTATTCTTTCTCTATATTCTTTCTTGTCTTTTAAATTCTTCCTGATGTATTGAAATCCTAATTTCTTTCTTCTGCATTTTGCTTTTACTTATATAAGAAGCTCTTGCTTTCTGGAAATGAAGATTATTTTTCATTTTGTAATCTTTATTTTAAAAGCTTTGTTCTTCCGAGGCTTTCATATAATATAACATGGTCTTTGAAACTTCTTAGTTTACACGTGTGGGATCTTGATGCATCTTTTATATTGTTTCTGGTCTGACCAACATTTCCAGAGCTGTGATTTGAATAAGTTTGGAAAATTATTCAACAGTAACTTCCCAGATGCAAGCACCTTGCTATTCAGAGAATATCTGTGCTTTTGACTTGCAGCTGTGATATAAATAGTTAAGAAATAGGAGTAAGTTCCTTTGGATTTATATTGGTTTTGCTTAGCTTTTAAAAAACCTCATGCAATTCAGCTGTCATGATGCCTTCTTGTGTGACAAATTAAGAAGTTGTCAGGACAGCTGTATTGTCTGTGGTTAGCTTGCTTCTGCTTTGATGTGCTTTGTATAATAAATTTTGTTGTGGATGTTACTGCCCTATGAGAAATATTGGTATAGAAAGTTTGGTATCTGCTGTTAGATTTGATGTGTTCCTCATTCTAATGCTGTGTTGTGCTTTGTATAATTGCTGTGAATGTTACTGCCCCGTGAGAAAGTTTGGTATCTGCTGTTAGCCTTAGTGTGTTCCTCATTCTAATGCTGTGTTGGGTTTTGTATAATAAATTTTGTGGTGAATTTGCTGCCCTATTAGAAAGTTTGGTATAAGCTGTTGGCTTTGGTGTTTTTTCATTCTACATGTAATCTCAAAGTGTGATTGTTTTCTGTTATTTTGTTCAGTGACAATTGATTAAGGTCAAGAACTTTTGCCTCTTTATAAATTCCTGACCTTAGGGAAATTTTTTGAATTTGTGTTTTGGATCCTTAACTGATGTACATTAATATTAGAATACATGTATTAAAAAAATATTACAATATGCTCTCACTTTGTAGGGGATTGTAATTTTGAGAACAGTTTCTGTGGCTGGAGGAATAGTAAGACAGATAACTATGACTGGGTCCTGATGAAGGGAAGCTACTCTGGGTCATCCCCTCATCCCTCTGGGGACCACACTTATGGTAGAGGCAATGGTAAGTGCTGTTTTCCTCCTTTGAAGACATTTTGATTTGAGTTTTTATGTAGACTACATTAAATGAAAAAGACACTTAGATTACCTGTTAAGCTGTACTGGAAACATACCTTTTAAAATTTTAAGCAGTATGAACACTACTGTACCTGTATTTCAATAACTTCCTACCATAGGTACATACCTGTACATCAATGGAGGACTGACCCTCCCCAAGGGAAGTCGTGCCCAGATCGTGTCCCCAACTCTGTCAGCCACAAGCTCCAGTGGGGCATGTATGAGGTTTTGGTACCTCATTTCTGGAACTAACACAGGAACAATTAATGCCTTTGTACAACAGGTTAGTAGATTCCATAGGGAAACGGCAGAAATCATTTATTATTCACTCTCCAGAATTGAATGTACATGTGTCCCTTATTAATGGAAATTAAATGTTTTTGATATATAAAATTCTGATTTTTTTATAGAGGTTTTAGTTGTAAGCTAAAAAAAAGTTTGATAACATTTAAAAAGTCTAGTTCACAATTGAAGAACTTAGCTTGTGTTCTCAGATAGGAACCTATCACTAATTCAATTTTTTCATTTATGTTGTAGGGTAACAAAACAACTGGCCTGTGGAGTATAACCTACTCTCGAACCCCTCAGTGGAGTCAGGGTCAATTCCCGATCAGCAGTGGTACCCCGTACAGAATCATCATTGAGGGAGTATTTGGGGCAACCAGAAGGGGGTTCATGGTAGTGGATGATTTCACTGTCACCAGTGGAACTTGTAGAAGTAAGATTTGCTATCTAATGTTCAAGATAAATATATTTACCTTTTAGTCTATAATAGTATTCATTATTTAAAAAATATAACATTTAAAAAAAGAATCCTTTAAATCTCGAATCTCCAAATGTTGATATAAGCACAAAAAAGACAATTAGTTAAGACATGTATTACTTTACATTGTGTCTGTAGCAAACCCACCTGATGCAATGTCTGGTTCTACCCTGGCACCAGCTCAGACTACTGCTACCACCACACCAGGACCCACACATGGTAAGTATTACTAATTGAGACCACAACTGGTAACACTACACATAGTAAGTATCACTACTTAACACCATAATGGGTAACACTACATGTGGTAAGTGTCACTAATTGACACCACAACTGGTAACACTACACATTGTAAGTATTACTAATTGACAACACAACTGGTAATGACACCATAACTGGTAACACTACATGTGGTAAGTATCACTAATTGACACCACGACTGATAACATTACATGTGGTAAGTATCACTAATTGACACCACAATGGGTAATACCACATGTGGGAAGTATCACTAACTGACACCACAACTGGTAGCACTACACATTGTAAGTATTACTAATTGACAACACAACTGGTAACACTATACATGGTACATGTAAGTATTAAAAATTGACACCACAACTGGTAACACTACACATGGTAAGTATCACTAATTGACACCACAATGGGTAACACTACATGTGGTAAGTATTACTTATTGACACCACAATGGGTAACACTACATGTGGTAAGTATTACTTATTGACACCACAGCTAGTAACACTACATGTGGTAAGTATTACTTATTGACACCACATCTGGTAACACTTCACATGGTAAGTATCACTAATTGACACCACAATGGGTAACACTACATGTGGTAAGTATTACTTATTGACACCACAGTGGGTAACACTACATGTGGTAAGTATTACTTATTGACACCACAATGGGTAACACTACATGTGGTAAGTATTACTAATTGACACCACAACTGATAACAGGATAAACTTTTGTACAAATCTACATTCAATTTACATGTAACAACAAAGGAACTGATTTGTTTTTCCTTCAGTGTATTCACTGTTTCATGCATTGAGAGGATCTGGGTGTGGTAGATTTTTTGTTGAATTGTTTCAGTGCCGTCCCAATGGGACTGTAACTTTGAGTCAGGGTTCTGTTCCTGGACACAGGCAAAAGATGACCAGTTTGATTGGACCAGAAGTAGGGGTAGTACAGGCACTGCCAACACTGGACCCTCCAGGGACCACACAACAGGTGGAGTAAGATTTATCAAAAGATTCAAAGTGTTTCTTAAAACACAAATTATCTCATACTTTTATTTGTGATGCTTTGTTGTTTAATTCTAATTAATGAGTCTGAAGAATTTATATGAAGGCATGTATGAATTTGTTAAATGAACATCAGACCCACATTATCCTTATTGTTAATACTTGTTTGTAGTAAATATTTTAGAATAAGAATTTTCACCATTGCAAAAAAAAGCTGTCTTGGAAAATTTCATGACAAGAACATGGAGTTTTAATGTTATATTTAAAATTTTTAAAGGGAATGGTTATTATGTTTACATTGAAACTTCCCTTCCTCGTCACGTCAATGACACAGCCAGACTGATCAGCCAGCCAATCAACCAGAACTCCACCATGTGCCTGAATTTCTGGTACCACATGTATGGTACCCACATAAGAACTCTTAATGTATATCTGAAGTCAGGTGGTTCCCTCGGAACACCTGTGTGGAGTCGGACAGGGACCCGTAGCAATCAGTGGTACTCTGCCTCCGTGGACGTACAGAGTTCATCGTCTTACCAGATCATGTTTGAGGGAGTGAGGGGCACCAGCTATAGAGGAGACATCGCTCTTGATGATATCACTGTATCCATGGGATCATGTTCTGGTATTATTTATTCCACTGTCTTCTGAACAAAAAAACTTTGAGAACATTAGTTGAAGTTATTAAATATATATATTCCTAAAATATGATAAATGAAAAAAAAAAATAGAATGGATGAGCAAAACTGGGATGTAATGGTAGTTTTACAAAGATATTGATGCATTATTTACTTTTGAAAATTTTGAAATATTTTGTTGGTTTTTATTCCTTCTATGTAATTCTCAGGAACTACCTCTGGTGGTTTGTGCACATTTGAGGACAGAACTTACTGTGGCTATAGACAAGATAGTAATGATGATTTTCAGTGGACCTGGACCAGTAGACGTACAGCTTCAAGTGGCACCGGACCCAATAATGACCATACTTATGGCACCTCCTCAGGTAAGCAAAGACAAAAATGTAAATTGTGACTCATTAACAATCCTTATGGGTAATTTGTATAAGAATACATCTTAAGAAATGAGAGCCAGCAGATGTTTGGTATTTTAATTTCTACTTTTCCTGAGAGAAACTAATAATGTATAACATTCTCCAGGGTAATACAGTGATTGAACACTGTACAAATTTTTATAATTAACTAAATTGTATATGAAACAACTGAGGTCTTGCCAAGTATATTAACAAGGATTGGTATAATAAACACTATGCATCATTTTCTGTAGGACACTACTTTTACACTGAGTCCTCCAGTCCAAGAAGACCGAGACAGAAGGCTCGCCTCATTAGCCCGGATAACCCAGCCACCCCAGGCTCTTGTGTCAGCTTCTGGTACCACATGTATGGAAACACTATGGGGACACTCAATGTGTATGCTAGGTCTGGTAATGTACTAGGCAGCACCATCTGGACAAAAACAGGAAACCAGGGAAATAAATGGTTAAAAGCACAAGTCTCTGTCACTCAACAGGCGACATGGCAGGTAAAATTATTCACAACCCAGTGGAGATGTCCATTGTGTAATCCAAGTGTGGCATGATAGAACACATTGATGTTTTTAAATTTGAAACCAGCAATTAGCAGTTCATTTAAATCCATGGATATTCTTGTTCATCATTATACCCATATGTGATGTATGAGATAATAAAAATATCTGATATTATTTTGTAGATTTTGATATTTTAAGCTAACTGAAAGAAGGAAAAGGTGAAGGTTTATTTTTAATTTTTTGCAGGTTGTTTTTGAGGGCATCATAGGAAGTGGTTACCAAAGCGACATAGCCATTGATGACGTTCAGGTTTCCAGTGGTTCCTGTGGAAATCCTGGGGACTGTAACTTTGAAAAGGACACCTGCGCTTGGAGGAACACAAATCAGGGAGATAATTTTGATTGGCTGAGAAAACAGGGGCAGACCAATAGTCAGTTCACAGGGCCTCAGAGTGACCACACTCAACAAGACAACCAAGGTATAGGGTTACATCTATTGAAATAAAATTTGAAAATTGGATCATGTATGTAACTTAAAGTTTTCTCAATACCCAGTAATGACAATATCTGACTTGATGCTTTAGGGTACTACATGTTCATTGAAACCTCAAATCCCCGAGTAGCAGGGGACAAGGCCTGGTTGGTGAGCCCTCAGTTTAACCCCTCCTCTTCTGGATGTATGTCATTCTGGTACCACATGTTTGGCAGTGGGGTTGGTAGGTATTGTTTAGAGGAAAATCTTGTGAATTTCTGTTGTTAATAACCAGTAACCAATTTATTTATTCTTACACATTACTGACAGATATGGTTTAGTACCGTAAATCGATTATTATTTGCAACATCTTTTATTCGGGATTCTTTAGTTTGGAATCAATCCGCGATTATTAATTTTTTTAAATTTTTCGCACCATTATAAATTCAAAGGTGAATAATTGTTTCGCAATGAGAAATAATTGCCAGTAAAATAAGGTTGCAAAAATCGGCGGATATTTCTGGATTGCAAATAAAAGTTGGTTAACAGTAATCATTATACGTTGATTTATTAACAGGAAGTCTGAATGTGTATGTAAATGGCAGTAGCAATGTTTTGTCGTGGACTCTGTCTGGCAACCAAGGCAACCAGTGGAATCAAGGACAGCTCTCTATTCCCAAACAGACCAGTTCCTATACGGTCAGTAAAGTGATAACTTAGAATTTCTGATACTGTAGATTATGTTCATACCTTCAAATTTGAAAGATACATGTAGGTAAAATTTTAAAATTTTGCAGACAGTTCTCTCAATATTAAAGATGACTTACAAATGAAATCCATGAAATATTTAAAAAAAAAAAACATGGCATCATTTTCTTTCTAATTTTGGCATTCTTTTTATTGTAAATTAAACTGTGTAAGCTGAGAAGCTTATTTTGAAAATAAGGAAAAAATTCTCATTTCCAATAACAGGTTGTAATAGAAGGAGTTCGAGGAAACAACTACAGAGGGGACATTGCAATAGATGACATCACCTTCACAAACACACAATGTGGAGGTCAGAGGCTGATAATAACTATTGAATTCATTTGTTCTGAATCATTTTTAATCAATAAAAACAAATATTGATATAGATATTATCAAACAACTCTATGAGAATATTTATTGACAGTAATCCCATCAAAAGCCAATCCTATCAATGCTACAAGTACGACTGCAGCTCCTGCTACAACAACTCCACCTCCATTTGGTAAGTATGGCCAGGGAAGAAATCTCTTTGCTAAAACGTCTTGTATGTTAGATTTGATAATTTGTGAAAGAGAGATAATTCCTGTGGATGTAATTATTCCTCATTTGACTGTAAGATTTGTGAAATGTACTGTATAAGCAGAATTTTTAGTGAGGATTCAATTTTAGCATTATTAGCGAGGGTGTTGAGATCGCTAAAATTGAATATCGCTAAAAATTGATTGCGTATCAATTGTTATAGCTTCTGTTTTGGTCAATATATAATTGCTAAAATTACTTCTCGCTAAAAATTACCAATTTTTATGGATAAATCGCTAAATTTGCGTCCCGCTAAAAATTCCACTTATACTGTATTTATTTCTGTAGGTGTAATTATGTTTCATTTGACTGTTTTGTAGTATCTCAATCTCAGTATGATTGTGATTTTGAGACCAACCTATGTACCTGGCAACAAGATAAGACAGATGTGTTTGACTGGACAAGAGCTCAAGGACCCACAGGGTCAGTCAACACTGGACCAACCAATGACCACACAAAACAAAATGGTAAGCCAATGACCCCACAAAACAACATGGTAAGCCAATGACCACACAAAACAAAATGGTAAGCCAATGACCACACAAATCAAAATGGTAAGTCAATGACCACACAAATCAAAATTGTAAGTCAATGACCACACAAAACAAAATGGTAAGTCAATGACCACACAAACCAAAATTGTAAGCCAATACCCACACAAAACAATGGTAAACCAATGACCACACAAACCAAAATGGTAAGCCAATGACCACACAAAACAAAATGGTAAGCCAATGACCACACAAAACAACATGGTAAGCCAATGACCATACAAAACAAAATGGTAAGCCAATGACCACACAAAACAAAATGGTAAGCAACAATAAATATAGTGATTGCTTTCAACATTTTAGTGTGTTTATTAACCCACAGTGCACACAAGTCAGCTTGATGTCTCTAAGAAAAATCTTAAAACTACAAAATTATGTTCCGTGTATTGATTTTAGCAAAGTTTAAAAAGACAGATTATTCAACAGCTTTTATCGGATGGTAAATGTTAAGTTTTTTCTTACAGCACAGGGATGGTATGTTTTCATTGAGTCGTCATCCCCTCGACACTTGAATGACAGTGCTCGACTTTTGTCAGCAGCTGTACCTGCCAACAACCAGTACTGTCTACAGTTCTATTACCACATGTATGGAGCCAATATCAACAGCCTCAATGTTTACCTCAAGGTAAAGGCTTGTCAAAGTCCTGTGTCACTGTCTGCTTTGTACACTTCACAATAGCACCTTAATTGTACATTATTTTATGCAACAGTTAATGATAAAAAAACTAAAAATGATGATAATCTGTGATATTCTGATTTAAATGAGTATCATTTTTTTTTAATCTCTATAAAATGCACTTTTCAGAAAAATGGACAATTGGGAAATGCAGTTTGGACAAAGCATGGAACACAAGGTAACAAGTGGAACAAGGGCCAGCTCCCAATTCCTGCTCAGACAACTTCATTCAACATTGCTTTTGAGGCTCTGGTCGGAACAGGTTACCGTGGAGACATTGGACTAGATGACATCAAATTAATCACAGGAGCTTGTTCCTCAGCAGGTGAGTAGATTTTTTTTTGTGTGTGAATATTGACTTAAATTAAGAGAGAGATAAAAGATAATCTTGTTTAAATATTCAGGTGGAATCCAGTGTTCCTTTGAAAGCCCCACTCTTTGTGGCTGGACCCAGGACAAAACTGACCAATTTGATTGGACACCAAAAGCAGGTCACACCACCTCTTCTGGGACAGGACCCTCAGCTGACCACACCTCAGGGACTGCCACCGGTGGGTCAAAGTTATTTAGATTTCTAGATTATAGTTGAAAATTTATTGTTTGAAGAATGTACTATGCTCTTATCCAGTTGTATAACCTGAAAAACTCTTAAAAACCAAATATTGCTTGTTTTAAATTTCTTCCGATTTCAAACACAGGTAAATATATCTACATTGAGACCAGTGCACCTCGCCGCCGTGGAGACAAAGCCCGTATTCTCAGCCCCACAGTAGCTGGAGGGTCTGCCATGTGCTTCCAGTTCTATTACCACATGTATGGACCACACATTGGAACTCTGAATGTGTTTGTTAAGTCTGCTGTTTTAAATGGAACCCAGGTTGTCTGGACAAAATCTCTGAACCAGGGCAACAAGTGGGTCTTTGGTGAGGTGACGATTGACCAATCCTTCACTAACTACCAGGTGAGTTACTGCTGTTCAGTAGAATATATTCTTAGGTCCCTATCTCCAGATTTCATTTGTTTTTGAGTTACTTATTTTGTTGTCTGTTTGTATAATAGGTTGGTTTTGAGGGAATAGTTGGTAGAGGATATGCTGGGGACATTGCAGTTGATGATGTCAAAACTCTAGCACAACCTTGTGGCAGTTCTCAGGGTAATTTCTTTTAAATATCAGTGTTGGTGTCATTTGGTTATGTGAATAATTTTTCTGTGGGTAAAACATAAAATGAAACTACCAAATGAATGTATTGGAATTGTGTTATATATACATGTACATATCAGTTTTGTAATTATCAAGAATTTAAAATTCACAAATTTTCTTCAGGGTCATGTGACTTTGAGGGAACTTGTTCTTGGACAAATACACGGACAGGAGATCAATTTGATTGGCTCAGAGGTCAAGGAGGAACAACAAGTCAACAGACTGGACCAAGCAATGACCACACACTTGGAAACTCTAAAGGTTAGAAAAACTTTCTGTGTTGAGAAAAAAATCTTTCATTTAGCACCTATTTCTGATTTAATATTATGTGGGGATATTTGAAAAAAAAAATTAACAGCAAACATCATCAATTTAAAAAAAATCAGTCAAATGAGTGAATTTTATTATCACCATGATCAATAACAGAAATGAATAGTATCTTTGTCTGTCAGCATAATAGACATAATGTAACTTCAAAACAATATTAGATGACGATTTCATATTTTGTAAGGGTCAAGGCCTCATATCACACAAGTGGTTAAATGACATGTTCAAACATTTACAATGGATATCCCCAGCATAGGAAGCTTTGGATTTTATAAACACAGGCTAAGAATTCATGTCTTTAGATAATTGTGTTTAGATATATTGCTTTGTTTTCAGATTGTCAAAAACTGGCATTGATCATGAAGGTTCTTTCATTTTTAGGGCACTACCTGTTCATTGAGTCCTCAGCCCCTCGGAGACCAAATGACAAAGCGCGACTGGTCAGTCCAGTTTTCCAGGCTACAGCCATAAAGTGTCTGAACTTCTGGTTCAGTATGTACGGCTCAGATATTGGTCACCTTCGAGCATTCATTCAGCCCCAGAATGGTACAGCGATCAGAATCTGGGATCTGTTTGGAGACCAAGGCTCACAGAACTGGATGCAAGGAAAAGTGGCCTTCTACAGTGCAACACCATTCACTGTAAGTATTTTTCTCAAAACCATGTGATATTTATGATTAAGCCAAAATCTAATTTGTAACATTTTGTTGATATTTAAAATATAAAGGAGTACTCTACACCATTCAAGTACATGTAACTATATATTTGAATATATGAACTTCCCATATTTCTGTGTCACTATTTTGTAATTTTTTTTTCTTTGCTATATTTTCATTGTACACTTGTTTGTAGTTAATAATTGAGGGAATGAGAGGAAATGGCTATAAAGGAGACATAGCTATTGATGATATTTCTATCACTGACTCATACTGTCCTAGTAAGATTTTATCAAGAAATAAACTATCATACACATATAAATCTTATTCCACCCACACAGATTCTTATAGAATGATTTATCTGCCAGTATTGTAAAATGTAATATCCCCTATTGCTGAGCCAGAATACAGTGTATTTGTCATCTCCTGAGCACAACACCTTTGCCTAATTCTGCCCTCACTCTTAATACACATCAAAAACAAAGACATAATATTCCTTGTACATAAATCAAACACAAATTTCATTTGTTATAAGGGCTTTAAAAATGTTATTTCCCTTGTAATTCTCTAACTCAAGGGAGTCAAATACTTATAAACTGAAGCACAGAATGTACTAAGTACATCATTTTCTAACTTTTACAGTAGCACCACCTGCAGCCTCTACTCCAAATTCTTTTACTCAGGCACCGGCATCAACAACAGCTACCACTCCATCAGGTAACAGACTGTTACATATACATGTATTTCTGTATTAACTATGTGAAGGTTAATTAAAGTTGTGTATATATGTATTCGAAGTCATGCCATTCTCTGCTTGACTGTTTATATTATATTTACTTCTCAGCTCAAGTCTCGCCATTCGATTGTAATTTTGAGAGTGGAATCTGCTCCTACAGTCAAGATAAATCTGACAGATTTGATTGGACAAGAGCTAATGGACCAACAGGAACGGTGAACACGGGTCCATCAACTGACCACACCTTTGGGAATGGTAACCAAAACAATGATTAATTTCTTAAAAAGAAAGTATTAGAAATACAGTCAAATCTAACTAAAACTAGAACTTCGGGATATCTGAGGATTGGAGATAATGAGGTTTAAAAAAGAAAAAGTGATTGGGACTGCCAAATCACTTTAACATAACCTTTGTATCTGAAGTATTGGTGTTTGAGATAACAAAGTTCAACTGTGTTTTACTGGGTGTGTTACACGTAACATTTCAAAATGCATTGCAGCTACTGGACACTACATGTTTATTGAGACTTCCAGTCCAAGGCGACCAAATGACACCGCTCGTCTGATTTCTCAAACTGTGACCCGGACCACTGGAGCATGTCTGCGGTTCTGGTACCACATGTATGGAACACACATCAATACTCTTAATGTATACACCAAGACTAGTGGTCAACTAGGAAGTCCCATCTGGAGCCACACTGGTAAGAAGAGAAATACAGATATTTCCACCTTTTAATTCGTGCATGAATTTTAACTGATGAATATTAGTTCATGCAGATTATGATCATTGACAAATTTTACTGACTGGACTAAGGACTGTAAATCTATCTGATCTGCAGTGCATTGATTTTTCAAATAACAAAGTTTTTCTTTGCTATTTGTATATGTCAGTTTTTTTGTCCATGGATATGAAATAATGAATAGATGATTACCTCTATTAATGTAAAAGTTGTCAAATCATATGAGCTGAGTTATTACATTTAATTGTGATTGAACAGGGACCCTAGGAAACAAGTGGAACCAGGCTGTGGTGAACATTGCCAATAACCAGAACTTCCAGCTGGTGTTTGAAGGAGTCCGTGGAATCAGTTACCGTGGTGATATAGCCATTGATGACATCACATATTCCTACCAACCCTGCCCCTCAGGAACAAGTAGGAATTGTTTTGATAAAGAATTTTTTGCAGTACACGTATGTTGTATACTTGCCTTTTTTTTTTAGTAATGGGTATGTCTAACATGGATTTCATATAATATTATTTAAAGGTTACCGTTGTAACTTTGAGGATCCAAAGATTTGTGGTTTTACCAATGTGCGTGGCAATGATACTTTTGATTGGACCAGATTTGCAGGAAGAACAGGCAGCTCTTTCACAGGACCACCCAGTGACCATACCTATGGGACAGCAAGAGGTAAGTTTCTACAGAAATTCTATATTTTTAATGAGAGGACAATAATAATTGATGCACTAGTGTATATCATTGACTTTACTTCACATTTAACATTCATGTTGAGCTTTGTAATCTTTTATGACATGTTTTTTTGAGTCACTGACCAAGCTTGCTAACTGAGGTAAATTAAACTGTTACATCAGACTAATGTTTATTTTTTGACAGGCCACTACATGTACACCGAGTCTAGTGCCCCTCGTCGCCGTGGAGACAAAGCGTGGCTGGTCAGTCCGGGGTATCCCTCCACCATTGGTTCCTGTCTTAACTTCTACTACCACATGTATGGCAGCAACATTGGAACACTCAATGTGTATCTGAAGGTAGAACATTATTTAAATGTCTACAGTACTTCCGTATTTAATAGCACTTTGTCATATATAGTTATATCAATTCACCTTCATAGTTGAACCCTTCTTATTGGACGATTTCCTATTTCAGACTGGTTCTAGTTCCCAAAAGCTTTGGAGTAAAAATGGTAACCAAGGTAACAAGTGGTTGCTTGCGCAAACCACCATCCAGTCGCCAAGCAACAATTACTCGATTACTTTTGAAGGAATCATAGGAAATGGTTATAGAGGAGATATTGCTATTGATGATATGTCTGTTGTCCCAGGAACATGTACATTACCAGGTGCGTTATAAAAATATGTAAGAAAACAAAATAATGGCCATTTGTTTTGCTCGGTAAGTTTTAGAAAGGTAAACTTTAAGTTTATTGTAGGAAACTGTGACTTTGAGGGAAAGACATTCTGTACTTGGGTAAATTTACAAAATGATGATTTTGATTGGTTGGTTGGAAGTGGTAATACAGCCAGTGCTCTGACTGGACCCTCTCAGGACCACACCCACAATCAGGACACCTCTGGTCAGTAGAGAGTCTTGTTTATATGCATGTTTCAGAGTAAAAAAAAATGTTGTTCAATCGAACTTGAATATAAGGCAGGAAGAATATATATATTCTGCACATATTTTTGCAAAGATGAGATAAAATAATATTTCTTGAAAAATATAAAAGAATTATAATTCCAATTCCCTCTAGAATTATATGATGTAAACTTTTTTTAAATAAATGACATGAGTGCAGCAAAAAGTATTAATGAATGACTACTCACTCAATACTTGTTTAAAGGTCACTATGCTTTTATTGAGATCAGTGACTATCAGTCAATGCTTGTTTATAGGTCACTATGCTTTTATTGAGGCCAGTGCCCCCCGAGTACCAGGGCATGTAGCACGCCTCCAAAGTACAAAGTTCCAGGCCAGTTCTGCTCGGTGCCTACACTTCTGGTACCACATGTTTGGCTCCGGTATCGGCACTCTGAATGTGTACGTTGTCTCCGCCAGTGGTAACAAGACAGTGTGGTCATTGTCCGGAGATCAGACTAATCATTGGTATTCTGCACAGGTGGCTGTAACCAGTAATGTACAATATAATGTAAGTGTCAATGTTCTAATATCTGTTATATTGTTGTTATATTAAAGAATTAAGGCTGTACAGTTGAACTTTGATATCTTCTATATCAATATCTTGAATACAATGGAAGTGATATGAAAGTCACAACTTTCTCTTCATTTATTTTAACATCAATATCTAGAATACTTGGATATCTCCATGTTTTTTCTTAGCCCATTGAGTTCAAGATAAGAAGGTTTTAGTGTATTTACAGTTGGCATGTTTTATTTGTAGGTTGTGTTTGAGGGAATCAGGGGATCTTCCTACCAAGGAGACCTGGCTATAGATGATATTACCTTTACCAGTGACAACTGTGCTTGTGAGTCATTTATCATTAACAACAAAATATGAACAACAAACATGTAATTAATACCAGTAAACTGTGTTCATATGATACAGCGAGCCACTGACATTTACATTATTTGTTTAGTACAACCCACCAGTGCCAATCCAGCAATACAGAGCACCACCCCACAGCCAATGACTACCACCACAGCAGCAGTGGCCACACCAGGTGAGAATTACTGCAGCAACTAACATAACTGTAGCACTTACTACTGGATAATGTTAGGATTTACTTTTTGAAGAGTATACATGCTAAACATGTACATTTGTTTTTGGTTTCAGCTCCTACAGTATATGATTGCAACTTTGAACAAGGCTTATGTAAGTGGACTCAAATTGTTACTGGGGACCAGTTTAACTGGACTCGAGCTCAGGGTCCCACTGGTTCTGCACTCACAGGACCCACAAATGACCATACAACTGGCACACGTAAGTCAGATCCAACTGGTTGGTTTTCAAAATTTTTGTTTTATATATAATTATCTTCAGTTGGTAAACCATTATACATTTCAAATTTCATTAACAGAAAACGACAAAGAATCTAAATATATCATTCTTTCAATTTGTATTTGGTAAATCCAAAACAATTAATTATAATAATCAATTTTATACTAAGTGACATGTCACTTCTTTAGCATGAACAATTTGTACACTGTATTGAATATATTGCATGATTCTATGACAGGCAATGGCTGGTACCTGTATATCGAGGCCTCTGCTCCCCGACGACCAGGTGACAAAGCACAACTTGCCAGTCCTTTGATCTCAGATGGACAGACTCGGTGCCTGAGTTTCTGGTACCACATGTATGGGACCCACGTCAACACATTGAATGTCTATGTCCAGAGTGGATCTCCTGCTTTAGGTTCACCTGTGTGGACAAAGAAAGGAACACAAGGAAATAGATGGATCAAGGCCAAGGTCACTATAACACCCACCATGGCATACCAGGTCATCTTTGAAGGGGTCAGGGGAATCAGTTACCGTGGAGATATTGCCATTGATGATGTCAGATTGTCCATGGGACCTTGTCAAAATATGGGAGGTTGGAAAAAAATTCTCTACTTACAAAACGTATTTTAAAATTGATGAAAAACTAATTTTCTAAGTTTGTACCAAAAATTATTGTTCATTTACATTTAGTGTTGTTTTGGAAAAAACAATAGATATTTTAATGCAGAATGACTATCACACCTCTCTAGACTAGTAGCTATTATTTTCTTTTGATAAGATATGTTAACTTTGTATTTTCAGTTGATCCTATGGCTTGTAATTTTGAGACAAACTCAGTCTGCGCCTATCTCCTGAAGTTACCAACAGAGAGATTCACTTGGACTTGGCATGCTGGGGCCACTGCTTCTGCTGGGACTGGCCCCAAATCTGATCACACCCTGGGGACCTCAAGTGGTCATTATGTTTTCATGGAATCCTCTGCCCCTATGGCCCCCAACAACACTGCCCATCTTATTAGCCCTCAGTACACACCTCAAAATCCTGGATCCCCCATCTGTTTGACATTCTACTACCAAATGTATGGACAAAATGTTGGTGCTCTGAATCTTTATCAGACTAATGGTGGAACCTCTCCTGGTAGTCAACCAATATGGAGCCGGAACTTCAATCAAGGGCAACCTTGGCACCAAGGACAAGTGACCCTCAATCCCTCTGGAACATATAGAGTAAGAACGCTGCGAAATTTAAAAACTAAAACCTGTGAAAGAATATGATGTAATTATAAAGGAAGATTTACTCAGTGTCATGATAGAAAAGAAATTAAATATATTATATTTCCTTGCAGCGAAATTTATTTATTTATTATGAATCTGTGTCTCATAGTCTTTAATTTTAGGAAAAAAACCCATATCTGAGAATTATTCTGACAATGGAGTGAAATATTTTTACAGGTGATATTTGAAGGGGTAAGAGGAAATGGTTACAGAGGAGACATAGCTATTGATGACATCTCCAGTTCACCAGGAGCTTGTCAAGTTTTAGGTAAAGAGAGCAATAAAAACAAGGCTGTTCCCATAAAAAAATATATATTAACTTTGGTTTAATTTTCATGTGATTCATTTTATTTTTAAATTGTCATTTTTCTAAACGTAAAATTCTTGTGACAGGTGCCTGTAACTTTGAAACACCCTGTAGCTGGTCCAACACTCTAGTGAATGACAACTTTGACTGGCTGGTATCAAGTGGTAGGACAACCAGTGGATTTACTGGTCCTCCATTCGACCATACATTCCAGAACTCCTCTGGACACTACATCTACATTGAGACAAGCGCCCCCAGAGTTCAAGGAGACAAAGCTAGATATGTTAGTCTGGCCTTCCCAGCACAAACTAACGCTGCCTGTCTAAGTTTTTACTTCTACATGTATGGAGCAGACATTGAGTCACTCAGTGTATATGTGCTAACGAACACCACCTCTGATTCCACCACAAGTGAAGCACGACTCTGGCAGCTGAGTGGACAGAGTGGAAACTCATGGCAGCAGGGACAGATGAACATTCCCAGTCAGTACTCTAGTAAACCCTTCCAGCTGATGTTTGAAGGTGTGCGAGGGAAGGGTTACAGAGGTGATATAGCAGTTGATGACATCACAGTAGACCTGACATCAGGCTGTACAACTACTCCAGACATTGCAAGTACTTCACAAGGAGGTGGGTAACCTCAATATGCATATGTATTTACTGCAGACAAAATGTTATTTTTAGCCAGTTGCAACCATTGGAGTGTAAAAAATAAGGAACAATATTTTACAAAAAAATTTTTAAAAATCCATATACAGTTCTTCCAAATTTGAGTCAAATTTACACTGTTTATCTGTAGGATAATTATTTTCCAAGTACATGTATAAATACTTTTTTCTTTATTTCCCAATCTCATTTGTACTGTATATTTGGAAAATGAAAACTAACTAAAGGGATAATGTACACATATTAAGATATTTAATTATATCTCCAGGATATCAGGATGTTGCATGTAATTTTGACTACAGTGGCATCTGTAACTGGAAACAGAGTACGACTGATACATTTGATTGGTCACTTAACAATGGCACCACTCCAAGCCGGGGAACTGGACCCTTAACAGACCACACCCAGAATCTGGGTAAGGAAATGCAAAATAATGATATCATGTATGACAAACACAGTTAAAACATGATAGAGTATTATAATCATTGTATGAGAGATACTTAATTTTCATAACATTTTCTTTCTAGATCCAAATGGTGGAAGTACAGTTGGTAAATATCTAATAATTTAAAGTACTATTTAAATGTTACAAATGTTATAAAATCTTTTCAAAATTTATTTACAGTTAATTCTCACAGTTTACTTACAATTCCCAAAATTGAACAATCTTGTTATCATCATATCCAATTAATTTGAAAAAATACAACGCATTCTATCCTATTATGTGTAGGAAACTACCTCTACATAGAGGCTTCTGGTCATAAATACTCGGACAGTGCGGTTCTCCTGTCCCCCATCATTCCCCCCACTGGCCTCTCTGGCTACTGTTTCACGTTCTGGTACCACATGTTTGGTCCACAAATTGGTGTCCTCAGTGTCTACAGCATGATAGGAGGCAAGAAGATCCTCCAATTCACCAAAGGAGGGACCCAGGGGAACCAGTGGAAACAAGCAGTGATTAATGTCAACAGTACAACAGACTTCCAGGTAGGTCAGATCTCTAGGAGTGAAGGGGGGCACACTATGTCCGGTCAAAAAAAAACTGAACAGCTGTATAAGAGGTATGGAAGTAGGGACTTGAAGTATAATTTTATGCAGGGTTGATAATACATGTATTTGTTACCAGATTACATTGAATATTGATTGTAGCTGATGATCCAGGCATTTGTTGGTAATGGCTGGGCAGGAGACACTGCAATAGATGACATTCAGTTTGACACTCAACCCTGTGTCAACTCATCACTGCCACAACAAGTGTCAACCTCAAGTAAGCAACACAAAATCTTTTCAGTTATTCTACCCAGTGGCACATACAATGTCTCTGAGCCTTTCGTGGTAAATTTGGTATACTTTGTTTCTTTGAAAATTTCTTTTGATCGATTAATGTCATTATTTTGTACCTGTTATTAATTCCTTTAGCTCATTGTGACTTTGAGACTGGTACATGTGGATGGATGCAAGACACATCAGATGATTTTGATTGGTTGAGACACTCCAACAATACAGGTAGTTTTGGCACAGGACCAGTTGGTGATCATACTACAGGAGCAGGTTCAGGTAGGTTAAGGTCATTTCAAAAAGAAAAGATTTCAGAATTACATAGAGTGGCTTACTTACAATGGTTTTAGCCTTAAATTTAGTTGTTATTTTTATCCAACTCTTGAAGTTATGCATGTAATGGTGACAAATTGCATTATTTTAGGTTATTACATGTATGTTGAGGCCTCAAGACCAAGAACAAGTGGACAAAAGGCTCGCTTTGTGAGTCCCATCCTACCAAGCTCCAATGGAGAATGCCTGACATTCTATTACAACATGAATGGTAGAACCATGGGTACACTCAATGTATACACCAAGACCTCAGGGTCCCTTGGCAGCCCAGTGTGGACAAAATCAGGGAATCAGGGAAGAAAATGGTTGGTTGCTCAGGTCACTCTGACTAGCTCCAGCCAATTCCAGGTAATTTTACTGCTATAAGTTATTTTTTACTAATGAAGATGTTTGAACTATTTATTAGATTTTAAAATTTATTTCCTGAAAAAAGTGGAGGCAAAAATTATTAGGAAAACCCTAGCCATGATATTTGGTATTCCTGTCTGTGTTCTTGGTCACCAAACATTCAAAAGAACATTTTCCTTTTCACACACAAAAAAAAGTTTTACCGTAAATTCCTTAATTTAAGCAAGTCCTTATTATCGCGAAATGGCTCTTTGATGTCAATTCGCTAGAACAATAATTCGCGTGGTGATGGTTGATCAAGAGATTTTACATGGATTTCAGCACCATAAAAATGAAAGCGAGTAACTTTATTTTGCGAGTCGTGCTTTTTGCGAAATTACACGATAATTAATTCCTCGCATATATTAAGGAATCAACAGTATATCACACACACAGATTTTGATTTTTATATTTTCAGTATTCATGATTGGAATATAGATTTTTTGTAAACAATGGATACTCTTATTTGCAGGTTGTGTTTGAAGGAGTTGTCGGCTCCTCCTACTTCAGTGACATTGCAATTGATGACGTTTCCATTGTCCCTGGTGCTTGCCCTGCCCCAGGCTCCTGTAATTTCGAACAAGGCCTATGTGGTTACTCTAACGTCCAGGGAGATGAATTTGATTGGACAAGAAGCAAAGGTCTGTCCCCCTCATTTTACACTGGCCCCACTGTAGACCACACGACAAACTCCGGTTCTGGATACTACATGTTTATTGAGAGCAGTAACCCTCAGAAGCTTGGAGACAGAGCCTGGCTGAAGAGTTCCTCTCTGTCCGCCACCACGGGCAAATGTCTGCAGTTCTGGTACAGCATGTATGGAAGTGGTAAGTTGGCCCCATTAAAATACAAATATCTTTTTACAGGAAAGAGATGTTTAAGAACTAGTTTACGTTTTTAGATAAATATATTATCTCTTTTATATCCTACATTAAATTGAGTGGTCTACATCTATAGCCAAATTAGTCCCTTCAAGTCAGATTTGCACAGAGTCAGATTTGCACAGAAATTTGCAGTCAAGAGCATCAAGGATATTTTCAAGTTAACGTTCTTAATAATTCTTTGTAATGTAAGAAAAAATGTCCATTTACAAAAATGCAAATACAGAAGATTTTTTTAACTGGAAATTTGTCATTTTACTGCAGGCATTGGAACCCTTAACGTATACCTAGTATCTGGATCAGCCAATCGGACAATATTTACAGCCTCGGGTAACAAGGGCAAAGGTTGGTTCCAAGGTCAAGCCACTATAACAACCAACTCTGCTTACAACATTGTGTTTGAGGGAGTGCGGGGAACAGATTACCATGGAGACATTGCTCTGGATGATATCAGCTTATTAGACGGAACATGCAATCTACAGCCCACGGGGCCTACATCTGTGTCTCCACCCACCCCAGGACCCTCTGCAGGTAAATCCTCATTCAGAAATGAAATTTATACTTTATACTGAAGGTCAGTAATTGTTTTGGTAAAGATCTTTCATTGCATGTTAGCCTCTAATTTCAATGATAATACGTAAGTGGTAAAAATATTTTAATATACCATAAATTTTTGATACAAATACAAGTTTTATATGGTCATTAAATTTTAATGTCTTCGGATATAATACATAGACTTTCATAATTTTTTTTTCTATTCTGACACAGCTCCTTTATTGACTTGTAACTTTGAGAGAGACCTTTGTAACTGGCAACAAGACAAAACAGAAAACCTTGACTGGACCAGAGACTCAGGTGGAACAGCATCCGGAGGAACAGGCCCCTCCTTTGATCACACAACAGGTGGCAAGACTGGATACTATATCTATACAGAAGCCAGTGTTAATAATAACAAAACAGCTCGTTTGTTGAGTCCCCCAGTGTCTGTTTCCACTACGGTCTGTGTGAACTTCTGGTACCACATGTATGGTGCTAATATTAATAGAATTAACCTGAGACTGAAGCATGCTGGGACACTCAGCCAGCCACTGTGGACAAAGATTGGAAATCAAGGAAATCGTTGGTTCAATGCTAAAGTAGATGTACTACCGCAGAATGGAGATTTGGTTAGTATATTGTAGAAGTACCTGAGATCTGAGACTTGATGAGTTTATTATAGAAGGGCCTTGGTGTGTTTGCTGCCTTTGTGTGCATTTCTGTGGAGAACTGAATTTTAAAGCTTTCAAAGATTGAGGAAAATGAGACCATAACTTAACAGTCAGGCACTACCATTACTGTGGAATCATTTAAATTCGTGGGGGTCAATGTTCGTGGGCAAGCAAAATTTTATTGGTTCGTGGGGATGTAATTTCGCGGGCAGCTTGTTTATTTGGTAGATTTAATTAATCAGTACATTGACAAAAAAATTGTTCGTGGGGATGTAAATTCGTGGGTAAGGGTGACCCACGAAATCCACGAACATTGATCCCCCACGAACAATGATGATTCCACAGTAGTTGTCATTTGAATCACAAGAGTTAGTTCCCTCTTTTAAATATTTTCTGCTAAGCATACCAATTTTCAGGGATTTTGTCCCCATACAACCACCTGATGATCCATTTAGGGTTAAAAATTGATTCAGTCTAGTTTTCAAAATTTCAGCAGATAAATTATGGTAAAAAAAGTACCTGTGATAAAAAAAAATTACTCACATAATGTAATTATTTTAACTAAGGTAATTTCCCGATTATTCTTTGTGAAAAATAGCTGATAGCTGATTAGTACTTGCACATTGTTATGGTCATTTTGCTCATGAAAATCTTTTGGTTTTATACTCCCAGGTTGTTTTTGAGGGTATCACAGGACGTGGTTACCAAGGAGACATGGCACTGGATGACATCTCTGTTCTCAATGGACCTTGCAACAATGCTCTCTCAAGTAAATATCTTATGCCGTTCATATGCATGGATGTTTATGATTAATGAGGGGTCCATAATATCAATTTACTGTATAGTACAAGATGCTTATACAAAGAGCAAGGGATGAACTATTTTAATGTAATTTGTTATAATATCTGTTTAGTTTACAATACCTTTTATAACCATGAGGAATGAAAATCATCTTGCTGTAAGCGTGAAATCATTGTAAGCATGTTTGCTATAACAGTGTATTACCCCGACTGTATTACATGTACCACTTGTTATAAACTGCTAAACTAATTGATTTGAAACAAATTTGGAGATGTGGACTTTTCACAAAATATCTTATGCCTAAAACAGAAATTTTCTAATTCTCTTAAAAATATATCGATGCTATTGTAGATGATAAAAAATCTTATATTTCTTTTTACGTTTGAATGTATTGTGAATAATCTTTTAGAAAAAATTAATATCATATGATTTTTAAACAAAGAAAATATGGATTTTTAAAGTTTTAATTTTTGTTGTAAGATTTTCTGTGAAAAGGCCTAACGATTAATATTTTGGTGAACAAAACCTTAATAGAAGAGAACTTGCACAATATATTAATTTGTACAATGATTGTAGATAATTCATGCATGGAAAATGTCCAGTTTTGGTTGTAATGATTGTAATGGAAAAAAAAGGGTTTTACTGGGAAATTCTATACGTGTGATTATATGTTGGATAATTTTTTCCTTCAGCCACCTGTGACTTTGAGGATGCCAACATTTGTAACTACCAACAGGATCCTACAGACAACTTTGATTGGACAAGACAGGCAGGAAGAACTGGCTCCACTGGAACAGGGCCCACCAATGATCACACTTATGGAACCATAGCTGGTACATTTTGACAGTTGTATAAATGTTGTAAAACTGTCTGTTTTCACAGTACTTGCCCAAATTGTAATTTCAAGCATATACTATAATGAAAACCCAAATTACCAAATGATTTATGTGGACACAGACCCAATACTATGAATTGTGTATTATGGGTAATCTTTAGTGGGATAAAAATTTGTAGTAATTTGATGTAAATGTTTATTTTAACCCCAGGCCACTACATGTTTACCGAGTCCTCAGCACCTCGAGTACAGGGAGACAAAGCTCGACTTCTGAGTCCACAGTACCCTGCCACTAATGGCCAGTGTCTGACCTTCTGGTACCACATGTATGGACTCTCCATTGGAACACTCAATGTCTACACCAGCTCCTACAACAAGCTCAGTGCCCCTCTCTTTACACTGTCTGGTGACCAGGGCAACCAATGGCGCCAATCTCAAATAACATTACAAGTACAGGGGGCATATAAGGTAGGGGCACAGCAATATGGGTGTGATTGTAAAATTGGCTATACTTTGTAAAGTCTTGTTATTGTTCTTTCATTTTTACCATGAATGTTTTTTTTTCAGATTGTGTTTGAAGGCATAAGAGGAAGTGGTTATAAAGGAGACATATCCATTGATGACATCAAACTGACCCCAGGAGTTTGTCAAGGATTGGCTAGTTGTGACTTTGAATCTGACCTCTGTAGCTGGACCCAGAGACGAGATGATAAATTTGATTGGATAAGACGTTCAGGTCACACCCCTTCATTACTGACTGGTCCTGGAATTGATCACACAATAGGATCTTTATCAGGTAACATTTACCTCATGACACTGAATCAGACCACAAGAGGAGAAGAAGAAGACAGATTTATGCTGTTTTTACAACTATCAGTTCTAAATCAATTCAATTTTTGAGATTCAAACCTTCCCCCCCCCCCCCCCCCCCCCCAATCTTTTCTAACCCTGAATCATTTTACAGGTTTCTATGTGTATATTGAATCCAGTTCACCCAGAAAGCCAGGAGACAATGCAATCCTCTCCTCTCAGATAATTCCTGTGGCCCCCTATTGCTTCAGATTCTGGTATTACATGTATGGTGCAAATGTTGGTAGCCTCAACATCTCCCAGGTCATGTCTGGTACCCCTACCTACAAAAAACAAGTGTGGAGTATAAGTGGAAACCAAGGTGCCCAGTGGAAGCAGGGCAATGTCAGCATGAGTAATGCCTATGCCCCTTTCTATGTAAGTAACTGTTTTATGATATAGTTTGCATGTTAGGACCTGTATTTTTCAGTTGACATTTTTCAAGTATTCCGTGTGATTCGGGTAATATGTTCAAAGAATAGAAATTTGAAAATCTTAATCAATTTCCTTCATATCAACCTGATTTTTTTTTTTTAACCTTTGTTGTATTATGTATAAGATATCGTATTTTTTATGGTGGTGTTAGATCTATGTGGAAGGTGATGTTGGTAGTGGTAACCAGGGTGACATAGCAGTGGACGATTTCATTCTCGACAACTTTGAATGTTCAGCAGGTTTGTGCCAGAATTTTTTTCTGATACAAAAATACATGTGTTTTACAATACTGAGTTTAACTGGGTGGTGTTGCAATATTAGTTCAGTTGTGCATATAGCCATGTCAGTATTGTGGTACAGGTAATGTACTATGTAATATTGTGTACATTTGAACAGAGCCCAACACAAATGGAAGCTTCTCATGTCGGGACCCCCTTAACACAAAAATCCCTCAAACCAAAGTATGTAACTTCATCAGGGACTGTTCTAATGCAGCAGATGAATCAAACTGTGGTAAGTGTTTTGAAAAAGAAACATTTTCTAATAGTTAATTGTGGACTTGGAATATAATGATAATGTTTTTGAAAGACATTTACTTAAAAAAAAAAATCTTATACTATATGGTGATAACCTCTTTCTTTGTCTTATGAAAGGTGCCTGTGACTTTGAGCAGGACCTCTGTTCTTGGGTAGCTTCAGGGACAGGGTCATTTGGTTGGAGCCGAGGGGGAAACCAGACTGCCACTGCAAATACTGGACCCCGGTATGACCACACCATTGGAAACTCTGCAGGTAATTACACCTCCCCTCTCTCAAACAAGCAACTACACTTCCTCTTTCTATCACTTTATAATGATTTTTTTAAAAATTATAAGACACTCTTTAGTGTATACTTTTTGAAAATCAGTCCTGCCTTTTGTTTTTAATGTCTAGTTTTGGTATTTCGCTTTGACAGGTCATTACTTGTACATTGATGCAAGCCTGGGTTCCTTTACTAGTCTGGCTGAGCTCACTGGACCCACTCTACAGGCCTGTAGTTCCACATGCCAGTTCCAGATGTGGTATAATATGTATGGCACAGGTTAGTCACCAGTCACTTAACAAAATTATATTGACACTGCTTTTAGTGGGTAGTCTCAAAGCATGCTTGTTTACACCCATATTTGATTGTTCTTATATGAAGTAATTCAAATTTCTCTAACTTTTGAATGATTAACAGGTATAGGTAAACTGCGTGTTCTGATAAGAGAAAGTAACAGAGACACAGAGATTTGGAGACTTCGAGGTAACCAGGGACGAAACTGGAAGAAAGCAACCATTGACATAGGACGAGTAGATAGAGCATTCACGGTACTTAATCAAATACTCATCAGCTTCTGCTTCAAGTCAAAATCTGTCCTTAATAAAGTCTTACAAAGTATTAACAATGTCTCTATTTCCTTAGTTTTTATTTAAAATACATGAAGAAGTTTTATATATCTGTACATGAATGATTACAATTCTTATCCCCAGCTTGTGATTCAAGCCACTCGTACCTACAGTGTCCAGGGAGACATTGCCATAGATGACCTTCAACTTATCAACTGCAATTATCCAGGTTATCTATTGAAATAGTTAAATTCTAATAAAAGCATTATAACCTTGTGTATAAAAGACGATTGAAAACTAGTCAAAGTAGAATTTAAAAAAGAAATAAAAGATAAAATCCACGTGCTCTGACTATTGTTAGCACTTCAAAAAGGAAAAAAAACTTGAAATTCCAGAGGAGGTAATTTTTATTTTTTTTCTGCAGCCCCGCAAGCCTCCTGTCCTTCCCCTTACCAGTTCCACTGTAAAATCAACAAAGGATGTATAGCCAACAACCAGAGGTGTGACTTCAATGACGACTGTGGAGATGGCTCTGATGAAGACCCTGCTACTTGCAGTATGTTTTTAAAAAAATGTTAAGGTATCATTACAAATAAAAGAGTTTTTAAAGAAGGAAGTGTAAATTGATTCTACTTCTCTCTTAATAGCAAATTATCCTGCCTCTTGTAACTTTGAGAGAAGCATCTGTAGTTGGACACAGGATAAAACGGATAGGTTTGACTGGATTAGAGCTAACGGTCACACAGCGACTTACGGAACAGGCCCCTCCAGAGATCACACACGGGGTACAGCATCAGGCTACTACATGTTCATCGAGTCCTCAGCACCGAGAAGACGAGGAGACATGGCCCGTCTTATTAGTCCTCTGTTTAAGGCTGTTCCTCCCAATAATAACCCAAATGTCTGTGCTGTAAGTTCACTGTTCTTAAATTTCAAAACTCAGTGCAGAAACTGTAAAATGTAGTGCAAGAATAATTGAATTCATCACTTGCTGTTTAATTGTGTGCAAAATCAGCATGGCACATATCATTTTAAATTATTCTTGTTAATTAGAAATATATGTATGAGCAGGTCTTTTTCTCATTTGAAAAATGTCCAAAAGTTTTTGTATCAATCTGCATTTACAAGCAAAAAGCTGACTCATGTTAAAGAAAAGTATCTGGAATTGTTTCTTTTTACTGTTCAGATTCGATTCTTCTACCATATGTTTGGTCGAGGCATTGGGTCACTAAATGTCTACACCAGAGAAACTGTGACAGGACCAAAGAACAAAATCTGGTCCAAATCTGGAAATGTTGGGGACTTCTATGAGAGAGTTGATCTTGTAATCAATGAGACCAAACCATTCCAGGTAAAATGAAATAAAAGATTTCAGATGATGTGTCATTGAAAACCTGTAATAAGGTTATGACAGATTTTGGTCTTAAATTTTATACTGATAGGCATTAGCTGAATTGTTGAAATGAAATAATTCTAAAATTGAATATTTATGTATGTATGTATTTGTAATCAAAACATGATAAATTTTCAAATAAAACAATTAAATTAAATATTCTAAATTTGATATTTTCTCTTGATGTCAGACTATGTCAGACATTCATAGATTGATAAAAGAATAAAGAGAAAAATGCTGACTAAGATAGTTTTACATCTAGAGATGAACTTTCTAAATCTGAACAACTTGTATTCAATATGTATAAACTTGCATACTCCCAAGTTTACACTTGGTCCCACTTTGTTTTTAACATAAATTAGAGAATATGTAAGTGTAGTGAGTCTCTATGTGCAGGTTGTCATTGAGGGAGTTGTTGGCAGTTATTTGGGAGATATTGGAATTGATGATGTTTCAATGACACCAGGCTGTATTCTGATGAATGGTCCAGGTAAAATCACACACATATTCTTTTAAATTGTCAATTGAATATTGAAATTTTAAAGATAATAGAAAAGTGTATACATTTACAGCTTGTGGGTGTTGATACCAGTTATTTCACTGTTTCTTGGTAGTAATCATGGAACAAAGTTTTCAAAAACTTTGTTCAATTTGTGTCATTATTTTCTTTGTTTTTTTAAATAAACAAAGGTAACCAATAGCCCCCGAACCAATTTTCAATGTATTATTTCTTTTTAGACCATGAATTGATGCATAGTTCTAGTTATATGTATATACATGTACTTTTGAGTAGTTTTCAAGTAAAGTTATTTTTTGTTCTCAGGAAATACCCTACCCTCAGGGTCTCCACCCCCTGTAACCACACCCAACCCTTGTGGTAATAACAGTTTTGCCTGTACCTCGGGAGCATGCATCCCATCCTCCCAAGTCTGTGATTTTACATCTCAGTGTTCTGATGGATCTGATGAAGCCAAGTGTGGTAGGGGATCATTTTGTTTTTGATCAATTTACTTGATATAGTTTTATTTAGGGATAAGGATGTTTAAAATAAAGGATTCTATTTCATAAATATATGAGCTTTTTGATAGTATTTTTTATTCTGTGTGCTTGCTGTATGTAATTTTGCAATTCCGATTGTGAATGAATGCATCTTTGACTGGGAGAGATGATTTTTTACAGGCACATGTACTTTTGAGAATGGTCAATGTGGATGGAAAGATGTCAGCAGTGGACGATACAACTGGCACATCTTCCAGGGATCCTCCCCTGGGACAGGTGGTCCTAAGACTGACCACACCAATGGCACGGCTGCCGGTCACTACATGCTGGTAGAGGGAGCCTCTGGAGTATTCTACAGCCGGGCCCGCATGGAGACACCACCTCTAGGAGCCACAGGACCAAGCTGTCATGTGACTTTCTACTACCACATGTTTGGACTTGGAGCTGGTAAATCATTTGTGATGAATTATTTGTGCATGTAAAGGATTTTGAAGGAAAAATTAAGATATCTTTTCATTTCTTTTCTGAAATGACCGAGGATTCAATTTTTTTCATTATGTCAGATAAAATCTTCAAACTCTCTTTTAATGTATGACATAATAAAAAATAACTTTGCAATTTTCAGGAAACATTCGTGTTTTGGTTGTCAACAGCAACAATCCAAGTGATAAGACCTACATTTTCTCACAAAGTAACAATATGGGAAATGGCTGGCAGCTGGGAAGAGCAGATATTGGTCAACTTCCAGCAGGATACAAAGTAGAGTCACACATTGTCTTAATATTACCAGGCAAATTTATGAAGTGTTTAACTATATATAATAGAATGTTAAAGGTTTTAATTTGCCATAATTTTTTTTTCTTTTCTTTTCCCCGTTTTTTTTTTTTTTTTTTTTTTTTTACAAATTTGAAGTATTAATGCTTCAGATGGTTATTAAAAAGAAATTATCATGTCATTGGTTTTGACTGATCTTCTTTCATTATGTTTCCTAGGTGCAAATTGAAGCCAATCCTACTAAATCTTTTGCGCCAAACTCGGGGATCCCCAACTCTGACATGGCCATTGATGATGTTGTGTTTCAACAGTGTAACCCTGTCACCATTTTCAATGCATCAACAAATGGTATTCCACATAAAATCTTGTTTATTTAACAACAGCTATATTGGTACATGTGTAGCATTAGGGTATTGCTATTTTATTTTTCATTGACTGCCATAGCAGTGTTATCTTTATAATACATACGTAACATTCCCAGTATGATATTCTTTCAAAAAAAATTCATAATTGTGATTTCTTTGACAGCCATGCCAGTATTATCCTTGAGATAGTTGTTACCCTCCTACATGTAAAAGTTTCATGTCTATTATAGCTCTAAATTGTACATTTGAGTCGGGATGGTGTGGGTACACACAGGATCAGAAAGATGATTTTGACTGGACAAGAACTAATATCAGTTCACCCACCGTAGGAACAGGACCTGATCGTGACCACACAACAGGAAAAGGTAACACTACCTTTCTTGTGAAAAAAAAAATAAATTGCACTACAATGTTTTATGATAAAGATACAAGACTCATTGCTTTCAGACACTAAGAGAAATGATAAAATGAACAGATTTTAGAATTTTTTATTTACAACACAAGAAATGACTCTGTTTATAGGATTTTACATCTACATGGAAACCTCAGCCCCTCGCCGTCCAGGTCAAAGGGCAGTTATCTCATCAGGTATAAATAAAGCCACGCCTCTCACTGGAATGTGTCTGCGATTCTGGTACCACATGTTTGGAGCTCACGTCAACACACTGAATATCTACCAGCAAACTCCGAGTGGGAACAGATCTCTCATCTGGACTCGATCTGGAACTCAGGGAAATATCTGGAAACAAGGATTACAAACTGTCAAGAGTTCTCAGCCATATGAGGTAATGACTGGCCAATTTATTTGCTGCAATAGTAACTTGAGATTAGGACTTTAATATAAATGCGATTGATTAAACAATATATTATACTCCTTCACCAAAATAAAATTTAGATTAGAGTACTCTATTATGGATGTATATAAAGGTATTACATGTATTTATTTTTTAAAAATCTTGATAATTATTTGAGAATTTCAATGTTGTAGAATTACAAGAAATCTATTATAAAATGTCAAGATTATTTAATGATTTAAAAAAAATGCATGTATATATTAGGGATGCAGGAAATTATCATCTAAAATTGAAATTGTTCTCTGTTACATAGATTGTGTTTGAGGGAGTTGTAGGAAGTAGCTGGCAAGGAGACATAGCGTTAGACGACATCAGTGTTGTGACTGGACCGTGTCCCCCAAAACGTAAGAGTCCTAACATCATGATATAATAAACTGATATTTTGTCTTTTGTTTTATTGAACCAAGGTTTTTTTTTAAAACAATGAATATGATGATTTTGTGATGAATTTTGAGAAAGAAATATCTTTCATTCTTTGTATTTTAGGAATATGTGACTTTGAGGCAGGATTCTGCGACTGGACACAGGACTTCAATGACCAATTTGATTGGACAAGACAGAGAAATGGTACGCTATCTAGAGGCACAGGTCCTCCTTATGACCACACAACAGAAAGCCAGTATGGTGAGTGTCATTGTCTTATATGTAATCCTAATGTTCTATAAGTAATTGATACAGAGTAAGTGCTCAGTGTTTTAAGAAATATTCAAATATTGTGTCAAATATCCATAACTTTTAATATTGATGGACATTTATGAAAAAACTTATTTTTTGCAGAAGAAATAGTTGAATATTGAAAATTTCTCAGTGCTGAACTTTTTGTATTTTTGTAGGTTACTTTATCTTCATTGAGTCCTCTGCCCCCAGGAGACAGGGAGATGCAGCCAGAATCGTCAGTGGAGTCTTCCCACCCACACCCAATGGAGACTGCCTACAGTTCTGGTACTACATGCTGGGTAACAACACAGGGAAACTGAATGTGTACCTCCGTCCCAATGATGGTTCCTCTGACAGACTGCTGTTCCAGAGGGTCGGGAACCAGGCAGTTGAACTCTGGCTCTACCAGTCTCAGACTGTCTATTCAAATTCAGTGTACCAGGTGAGTTTAATAATGCTTGGAACTTAAAATCTGTAAAACTTGTTTGAAAAGTAGTAGTTTATGTCAATTTTTCAGCATATTATTATAATTAAAGTAATGCAATTAAGTGACCGCGTATCTTTCTTAATTATTATTGATTTAAAGTGTTTGTCAATTTAAATAATGGCATATATTGCTTATTTCCTATAGATTTGTACTGTACATGTACGTCAGAATTATGCAGCTGATTATTTTCTGAGAAATGAAAAAAATGTATTTTATATCTACAATTGTAAATAAAATGCACATAAATGAAATCATTTTGTTGTGTAAATGTTCTATTGCAAGACTTACAAGCTTGGAAAAGTTTAAGATTCTGTTTCTTTTAGGCTTCTGTCAAAATCTTTAATTCTTGAATCAGGAATACTTCTTAGGGTCTATGTGATAAACAAAAAGTTTCGAAGAATCTTATACTGTTTCATGCAACTAAAATGTCTTTATCACTTAAAGAGCCTGTAACCAGTGGTTCATTAGTATTTGATGCAATTAAAACTCTATTTATAGATTGTGTTTGAGGGAATTATTGGTAACGGATACATGGGAGACACTGCTCTTGATGACATCAAGATTCTTCCTGGTAAATGCCCCCCGCCAGGCTACTGTGACTTTGAGACTGACACCTGTGGGTACAGTAATACACGGGCAGGAGATGATTTTGATTGGCTGAGAAGTGCTGGTGCCACCTTGACAGCTAACACTGGACCAACTGTAGATCACACCACAGGCTCAGACAGAGGTCAGTATAACCACAGTCAAAAACATTTACAATGTACAGCCTTTTACTGAATACCTGCTTAATAGGAAGTCATTTTTGTACTCAAGTACAATGCAAAAAAAAAAACAAACAAGAAAAACAAACAAAACAAAACGAAACAAAAAAACACAATGAAATATGAAGTAGAATTTACATTTAAGGGGGCAATTTTATCTGTCACTGGGATTTGTTGTAATTTTGTTTTACCTTATGTGACAAAAATATATTAATGATTAAGTAGACAACACTTGTCATCATGCATTTCTTTCCATCATCAGTGAAAGGTTGAAACATGTTGCATTGTGTTTTAGGATTCTACATGTTCATTGAGACAACTGGCCGGAATCGTGGTCAGAGAGCTTGGTTCTACAGTCAGTATTTCCCACCGACCACCAGCTCATGTATCAGTTTCTGGTATAACATGAATGGTCCAAGTAAGTAGTTATCTAGAAGCAATAAAAGTTAATATCAATATAGCAATGTTTTTTATAATCTTGAATCATTTGAGGTTTAACTGATAAAATTAGGAGTTGAAAGCTTTCTATTCAGACATAAGAATATTTTGATATGAATGGAAATTTCCTTCTGCATGTAATATTGTCCCTGTGCTATGCTGCAGATGTGGGTGCCCTCCGCCTTTACAAGCCAGACCCGACAAGAACAGTAATGTTATGGAATGCCACAGGCAACCATCAGAATATCTGGCTACATGCTAATGTCGATGTCAAAAGCTCCACATGGTTCCAGGTATGATATTATTTCATATGCATTTCATTGTGTTTGAAGAAACCTGCAACTACTAAATTTTCTAAGCTTTACTGTATATGATTTAAATTTGATATGGCTTTTGCTGTATTTGAATTAAAATCCATATGGATATTTGTTGTGATGGATTAAATATCTATATAACTACTGTTAAGACTGAATTCTGTATGGTTTTTGCTGTATTTATTAGATCACATTTGATGGAGAAGTAGGAAATGGTTTTGCTGGAGATATTGCTATTGATGATGTTTCAATCCAGAACGGAACATGTGCATCACAAACAACTGCTATGACAACACCAATGATAGTATCTACTGTGTCCTATCGTGAGTTTCTGATACTATTTTTCTGACATGATAATTTCTTATTCTTGTCTTGTGCACAAAATATGCTTAATGAATTGGTGAAAACATCAGTAGTTTTTGTTTCAATGCAATAAACAGCTCCCTCCATGTATGACTGTACATTCGATGGCCCCCACCCATGCCAGTGGAGCCAGGAGCATAACGCAGACATATTTGATTGGACGACTCATTCTGGAGGAACCTCATCTGGTTTTACAGGTCCCAAGTCTGACCACACTCTTCAGAACAATCAGGGTGAGAATCATAGCAAAACGCTAAAGAACAGTTAGGCATAAAAAACTGATTCAGAAATGAAACAACGTTATCCTCAGATAGCACTACTGTAGTTAGTTTGAACAATCTTTTTTACAATCTTTATTGTGATAGGATCTTTTTTTCTCTATTTTTTTTTTAGCAACACTAATGTTGGATTATTTGTTGGATGTGAATTTTAATTAATGAATTGTTTCTTTGAATCAGGTCATTACATTTATATTGAGGCCAGCTCTAGACATCCAAATGACACTGCCCAGTTTGTTAGTCCACAGATCTCTATAGATAATACAGGATCCTGTATTAAGTTCTGGTACAACATGTATGGATCAGACATCAACAGACTCAATGTGTATGCCAAAACAAGTAAGGGTCAGAGGTCAAAACTTATTATTTCTAAAAAAAAATAAAAAGTAATTGATGGAAAAAGACAGAACTAAAATGGGTAGTTTTGATAGAGATTTTGACTTTTATTTTCATCTGTTTGATGAAATGCTAATTTAGAAAATAATGTTTGAATTCTAAGATGGTAATCTGGGATCACCCATTTGGAGAAAGATTGGGGATCAAGGACCACAATGGAAGTTTGCTTCTGTCTTCATCAACTCAGCTGTGCTCAATCCCCCAACTCCATCAACCATACAGGTGAGAAACAGAGAGACAAATGTATAAGAACTTGAAACTCAGGTAGAAAGCACACAAACATATTGATTAAAAACTTCTCAAGCATTCAAGAAAATGTATACAACCATTATTGACAAATAGGTTTAATGTGTACCGAGATAAGAACTATATGTATATGAACAACATTCAGAACACTCAAGATAAAACCACATAGACAAAGATATATGTACATGTAAACCAGTCCAAAATACAGTACAACACAGCACACATATAACTAAAACAACTCAAAAACATACATTGTAGGTAAGTTAAAGGTAAGAACTAAACAAATATCTAGGTAAAAAAAGGGCAATCAAATGCAGTTAAGTACAACGGTTACCATACAAAGTACATGTACATGATTATACATTCAAGAACCAGATAGAAAATGAAGGTTAAGCAGTGAAACTCATATTTTTCTTGTTATTAACTAAATTATGATTTAAATCTTCCTATTTTGGTGTAATAGATTTTTTTCACACAGTCAAGTTATTATTTTTTTGTGTACCCAGGTGGTATTAGAGGGCATGGTAGGAAAAGGTTACAAAGGTGACATTGCCATAGATGATATTTTTGTCAACACTGGAGCTTGCCCACCATCTGGTTAGTATAAATAATATACTACATGTACTTAATAACTGGCTTCAGGTTGTATTAGAGGGAATAAATTTTGAGAAATAGAATAAAATCAGTTGTAGTTGGTGAAACGCAACGACAAATCCTAGTTGAATTATAACAGACAATCATTCTAACAAGTGTAGAGGGTAGCTGGTGTTCATTTGTACCATCAATTTTGATAATTCAGAAACTTTTACTTCTTTATTTACAGATACATGTGACTTTGAAAACAATGATTTGTGTGGATATAAACAAGATAAAACAGATGATTTTGATTGGACAAGAAATACTGGTGGAACTGGATCAAGAGGCACTGGGCCCAGTGCAGATCACACTTATGGAACAAATGATGGTAAAATGTCTTATTGATACTATACAGGGCTGAACTTTCATGTAGGACATGTCTTGTCTCATTGTTATAATGATGACGAAGTCTGTTAATAGGATATCTGCTCAATACAGGGTCCTGCCTTTTCATTGCTGCTAATTTATTGATGTAGTCAAGTCATTCTGCATTCTTAATATAAATGCGATATAAAACACAATTTGCTCAATTGAATGGTTTACTTAAATTTCTTTATGACAGGTCATTACATGTACATTGAGACATCAGCCCCACGACTTCCTGGTCAGAAGGCCCGACTCATGTCACCCACATATCCTCCCACCACTGGACGCTGCATGACCTTCTTTTATCACATGTATGGTGCAGTAGGAACCCTCAATGTTAGACTCTTCTCTCAGGGAACTCTACAACCTGTGATCTGGAGCAGGTCCAGGAATCAGTACAATTTGTGGCGTATTGGTCAGGTTACTCTCAACAGCAATTCCCCCTATCAGGTCAGTGAATGGAACTACATGTACAAGTGTCTTTAATTAAAAATTTAGATAGTACTTCAAATAATTTTTTTTTGGAGAAATCCAGTCCAATCTAGACTTTGTTTATGAGTAATAAGATTTCAATATCTTCTACATTTTACAATTTATTTATCTACTTCATGATGTAGTATCAAAAGTGAATGTCTTTGTTTCTGCTTAGGTAACATTTGAGGGAATCAGAGGAAGGTCCTACCTTGGAGACATTGCCATTGATGATATCAGCATTAAAGATGGAGCCTGTCCAGCACCTGCAAGCTGTAACTTTGAGACAGACTTCTGCACCTGGACCAACACAATGACAGGGGATGATTTTGATTGGCTGAGAAATAAAGGAGCCACAGGTAGCTCCAGAACTGGCCCTTCTGTTGATCACACTGTAGGAAATGCCAATGGTAAGTGTTCTTGCAAAATACCTTAAAATTAAAATTGGTTTGAAAGAAAACAGAATCAAAAATAATTTCAATACACAGAGATGCACATGACTGCATCAGCTTTTAACTTGTCTAATTAAATACCCGGTAAGTATATTTTTTATATTTACTTTTTCAGGATATTATGCCTACATTGAAGCCTCTGCTCCAAGAAAACCAGGTGACAAAGCTGTTCTACAGTCCACCACTCTAAAAGCCACCTCTGCTAGCTGTTTCTCCTTTTGGTACTTCATGTATGGTGCACAAGTGGGTTCTCTCAGCCTCAGACAGGAATATTTAGGCTCCACCCAGTATGGCACTGCTATCCCTCTGTGGTCAATGACAGGCAACACTGGACAGAAGTGGATCAAAGCCAGTGTCAACATTACCAGTCGAGTGGAGTACATCCTGACCTTCACAGGGGTCGAGGGTCAAGGGTTCACTGGAGACATTGCCATTGATGATATAAGCCTGACATCTGGAGTCTGCTCTGGATCAGTTGGACCGACATCCTTCAGCTGTGGGGATGGAACCAGCTACACACAGAGTCAGCAGTGTGATTTCAACAGGGACTGCACCAATGGAGCAGATGAGAAGAACTGTGGTAATTGTACATTTGATGGAAGCTCAGGACTTTGTGGCTGGTTTGATAACAGTGCTGGGTCATTCCGCTGGGAAAGACACAACAATGGTACGGAGACTGCCAACACGGGACCCTCAAATGACCATACTTATGGAGATGCTACCCATTATTACATGTATGTAGATGCAAGCAATGGAGTTGCCAACTCACGAGCAGCTCTGAGAGGACCCACTCTCCAACAAGCAGCTGATACCTGTCAGATGACATTTTACTATCATATGTATGGCACTCGCATTGGTCGATTGTACGTCTATGTGGTAACAGGAGGAGCACCCACACTCATAGCTAACATTTATGGAAATCATGGCAACCAGTGGAATAAGTACACTGTCAACATTGGTCGCAGAACTGCTCCTTTCAACATTGAGTTCCGAGCCTATCGCAGCTACACTGTGATTGGGGATATAGGAATTGATGATGTGTCTTTTGTGAATTGTGGACTTCCTCCAGTACAGAGTTCTTGTCCCTCCACCCAGTTCACTTGTCAGCGTGGATCATGTGTGGATATGTCCCGAGTCTGTGACTACACTGATGACTGTGGAGACAACACTGATGAAATTGGACCAAATGCTCACTGTGACCAACTCCCAGCTCGATGTGACTTCTCCACCTCCCTTTGTGACTGGGTACAAGACCGAGGAGACAAATTTGACTGGAGCCGAAGAAATTCTCCCACTCCATCAAGAGCAACTGGACCTACAAGAGACCACACCACAGGACTCAGAACTGGAGGGTTCATCTACATAGAGTCCTCCAGACCCAGAAGACGAGGGGATAATGCTGTACTTCTCAGTAGCATGTATAACACTGCTCAAACCCAAGACCAGTGCAAAGTTACTTTCTATTACAACATGAATGGTCCTACCATGGGAACTCTGAATGTTTACACAAAGGACACCAATAACCATCTCAGTAAAGTGTTCACTGTTTCTGGAAATCGTGGGGATATTTGGGTCAAGACCACTGTCAATCTTGTCAGTCCATACCCATTCCAGGTTCTTCTAGAAGGAGTGGTAGGAAATGGATACTACAGTGATATTGCTATTGATGACACAGTCTTCAGTAAAGGATGCAAGAAACTGAATCAAACTTTCCCAACCTCAATTACAATTCCACCAACTGCTCCAACTGTTAACCCTTGTGGAAGTGGACAGTTCTCTTGTGCTGACCAGTCCACATGTATCCCAGCACAGAAAGTGTGTGACTGGAATACTGACTGCACAGATGGATCAGATGAAGCCACTTGTGGACCCTGTAACTTTGAGAATGGATTATGTGGATGGCGAGATCTCAGCACTGGACGCTACAACTGGACCAGACACTCTGGCACACAGAACAGTGGAACTGCTGTAGGACCTGTTACTGACCATAGCACCAACACATCTGCTGGCCATTATGCATATGTGGAAGGAACTTTTGGAGTCTTCCTCAGTAAAGCTGTGCTTCAGAGTCCTGCCCTCCCACCCTCAGCAGATACATGTGAAATGTACTTTTACTATAACATGAATGGAAGAAATGCAGGAAGCTTAATTGTCAGTGCCCTAGTCAACAACACTAAAACGGCACTCTTTAGAAACAGTGGACCTCATGGGTCAGCCTGGCAGAAAGGAACTGCTTACATTGGCAAGTCTCTTGGAAAGACAACAGGCAAGTTTAGCATAATGTTTGAGGTTCTCCCATCGAGAGGTTTCTCTCCTTCTGCAACTGATGATATAGCTATAGATGACATCACTTTTGCCAATTGTTACCCACTTGCTCCACCTCCAAACTTGGTCTGTGATTTCTCACAAAATTTCTGTAACTGGAACCAGGCTCCTGATGATGACTTTGACTGGTCAAGGACAAATGGATCTACCAAGAGTGTTGGAACTGGACCAAGATTTGACCACACCACAGGGAAAGGATATTATGCATACATTGAGACTTCAGCACCCAGACATAGAGGTGATGTGGCTATCCTGGATAGCAATCCTCTGCCTCCCACTCCACCACAGGGCCATTGTCTGACGTTCTGGTACTATATGTTTGGAAACAACATTGGAAGTCTCAATGTTTACTTAGTGACAAACAAAAATAGAACCCTATTTTGGTCTAGAAATGGAACCCAAGGAGATGCCTGGAAAAAGGCACAGAGACAGATAATTTCCAGTACAGATTTCAGAATCTCTGTGTATGGAGTTGTTGGTAATGGATATCAAGGAGACATAGCTATTGATGACTTCAATATTACCAGTGGTGTGTGCCCACCAAAACCTGGATGTGACTTTGAAGATGGAACCTTCTGTGATTGGAAAAACTCCCTGATGGATGATTTTGATTGGACAATTGGCCAGAATGGCACAGCATCTATAGGAACAGGTCCTCCATTTGACCACACTTTTGGATCCAGTACTGGTCACTTTGCATACATAGAAAGTTCAGCCCCAAGACACCCCAATGATCAGGCCATTCTAGTCAGCAGATTCTTGGATGGAAGTGCTGTTAGATGTTTAAGATTCTGGTACCATATGTATGGAGTCAGCATTGGTTCCCTAAATGTATACCAAGGAGCTAATGGTTCTCAGATCCCTGATCAAGTCTGGACAAGAAATGGAGATCAAGAGAACATTTGGAGAAGAGCCACAGTCCCATTGAAGCGTTTACCAGGCAAGCAGTACCAGATTCTCATCAAAGGCGTCAGGGGAACAGGATACCAGGGAGACATTGCCATTGATGATCTGCTTATAACAGACGGTCAGTGCCCTCCAGATGGATCCTGTAACTTTGAACAGGACACTTGTGGATGGACTAATGCATTGGCTGGAGATAACTTTGACTGGCTCAGAGATTATGGAGGAACACCATCTTCTACAACAGGCCCCCAAGTAGATCACACCCTAGGAACTAAAGCAGGTTACTACATGTACATTGAAACCTCTGGAAACAACAGGACAATCGGAGAGAAAGCTTGGCTGGTCAGTGATATTCTTACAAGAACCACAGGGAACTGTCTTTACTTTTGGTATCACATGTATGGAGCAGGCATTGGAGCATTGAAAGTATACAAACAAGACTTCTTTAATAAACAGAGAACTCTGGCCTTCAGTCTAAGTGGCAATCAAGGAAATGCATGGCATCAAGCCTCAGTCAACTTTGTCTCTGATCATGAATACACTGTCATATTTGAGGGAGTTTATGGTGGAAATTACACAGGAGACATTGCCATTGATGATGTCCTTATTTCAGCCAGTCCCTGCTCTGCCACCACACCAACACCAGCCATTTCTATGGCAACTACCCCTGCAGTGTTCCCTAAAACAGCTGTTGACTGTGATTTTGAGACAGGTCTCTGCTCTTGGAATCAAGATGTTGGAGATGATTTTAATTGGTCAATAAAGAATGGAACAACCAGTTCAGGCAACACTGGACCTACAGCTGACCACACTCTGCAAAATAATCTTGGCCATTATATTTACATTGAAGTATCAGGAAAGCTTCCAAATACAACAGCAAGATTAATAAGTCCCTCAGTTTATGTCCAGTCTGCTGGCGTGTGCTTGAAATTCTGGTACAACATGTATGGTGCTCAAATTAACAATCTCAACCTCTATGTCCAAAATGTGTCGTCCACCAAGAAGCAGATGCTATGGAATAAGCATGGAAGCCAAGGAACAGACTGGAAGTATGCTCAGGTCCATCTCCAGAGCCAAGGACAAGTCAAGTTTGTGTTTGAAGGTGTAGCTGGTGTCAGCTACCAGGGAGATATTGCTCTGGATGATATCTCATTGAACCAAGGCCTGTGTCCCGGGTCGCCAACCTGTGACTTTGAGGATGGAATGTGTGGATATACTCAAGATGTCTCTGATCAGTTTGACTGGACACTGCATTCTTCACGTACAGTAAGTACAAGCACTGGACCAGTAAGTGACCATACATATGGCACAGCACAAGGTCATTATGTGTACATTGAGGCATCTGCTCCAAGGAGAATGGGTGACAAAGCAAGAATTGATAGTCCATCCTTCCCAGCTACTACAGGCACAGGTTCTTGTCTCACTTTCTGGTACAGTATGTATGGACGTAGTATTGGTTCACTGAATGTCTATCTCAGACAAGGAACTTCCAGCCAGCTTCGGACTCCTATTTGGACTTTGTCAGGAAATCAAGGCAGTAGGTGGAGAATTGCACAGACAACCATTAATAGTCCAACATCATTCAGACTGACTTTTGAGGGAACTGTTGGCAGTGGATACCAAGGAGACATTGCTATTGATGATATCAATCTTGTTAGTGGAGCCTGTCCACCTCCAGGAAGCTGTGACTTTGAGAAGAATCTTTGCACTTGGACCAATGTACAAGGTAATGACACATTTGATTGGGAGAGACATAAGGGAAGAACGGCAAGTTTTGGTACAGGACCTTCCACAGATCACACACTGAAGACCATCTATGGTTCCTACATGTACATTGAAGCCTCTGCTCCAAGAAAACATGGTGACAAGGCATGGCTAGCCTCCCAAACATTTGAAAGCTCAAAGACCCCAATCCGGTGTGTGACTTTCTGGTATAACATGTATGGTTCTGGTATAGGAACCCTGAATGTCTATCAGTATTTCTTCGCATCTACTCCAAAACCAGTGTTCACACTCTCAGGCAGTCAAGGACAGGGATGGAAACAAGGTAGTGCTGAGCTGACATCCACCACTGGTCAAGACTACCAGGTTCTTATTGAAGGTGTAGTGGGCAGCATCATGGGTGACATTGCTATCGATGATATATCCGTCACTTCAGGACACTGTACTACTCCAACAGTTAACCCCACCTGTCCCTTCCGGTGTTCCAATGGACAATGTTTGAAGAGCATCAATAATGTTTGTGACTTTAACAGTGACTGTCCAAATGGTGAAGATGAATCAAATTGTGGCTTCAACTGTGACTTTGAGCAGAATCATCCAACATGCAAATGGAATAGCACATCATCAGGATTCCAGTGGATGACTTCCAGTGGGTCTTCTTCCTCTCAAAATACTAACAAACCCAGCACTGACCACACAACTCTAGGACCTAATGGTAATTACATGTATGTGGCCCCCAAGGCTGGAGTGTATAGAAGATTAGCAGATCTAACAAGCCCTGTGATTGGTCAGTCATCAAGCACCTGTCAGCTATCTTTCTGGTATCATATGAGGGGCAGACAGATTCTTCGGGTATATCTAAAAGAGTTAAGTGGTTTTACAAGAACCCAAATTTTCTATCTGTATGGAGACCAAGGAAATGTTTGGAAACAGGCCATTGTTCCAATTGGAAGAGTGCATTCCCGATTTCAGATCATAATCTCAGGACAAAGAACTTACAGTGGCGTGGGTGACATTGCAGTGGATGACATAAATTTCCAGGGCTGCGCATTCCCAACTTCCACTTCATGCAGCTCATTTGTGACATTTAAATGTGCCAGTGGAGCCTGTGTAAACCAGAACAGAGTCTGTGATTATTCTGATGACTGTGGAGACAATACAGATGAAGCTAACAGCACGTGTGCTGGATATAACAGATGTAACTTTGAAAATGGACTCTGTGACTGGACTCAGCTTACGGATGATGACTTAGACTGGACTCTCCGCGCTGGTCCAACTCCCTCTGCCAGCACTGGGCCCACCAAAGATCACACTCTGAACACAAATACAGGACATTATCTCTACTTAGAAACCTCCAGACCAGTCAGACAAGGACAGAAAGCCAGAATTGCAAGTACAGCCTTCCAACAATCCACATCACAACCCTACTGTCAGTTCCGCTTCTTCTACTTTATGTATGGCAATACAGTGGACACCCTTACAGTCTATTACAGAAATCAGATAAATGGACCACTGTTTAAAGTTTTCTCTGTACATGGCAATGTTGGTTCTTACTATGCCAGACAAGTGGTCAACATAAGATCCTCTTCTCCATTCCAAGTCGTGATAGAGGCAACAGCAGGAGCAAACTATCTGTCAGATATAGCCATTGATGATGTTTCCTTCTCCTCCAACTGTCAGGTATACTACGGGAACTTGCCCATGGGAACTCCTGCCACTACCGTCCCCACTTCTCCTGGACCCTGTAGTGGAGGTCACCAGTGCGGTGATTCTAGCTGTGTGGCCCAAAATCAAGTCTGTGACTTTGTTCCTCAGTGCTCTGATGGATCAGATGAAGCAGCCTGTGGACAGTGTAACTTTGAGAAGTCAAGCTGTGGGTGGACTCCTATCCCAGGAGGAAGATACGCCTGGAAGAGGCACAATTCCTCCACTCCAACCTCTTTCAATACACCTCAAAATGATCACACTTATGGAACAACTCAAGTTGGAAACTACATGTTCATTGATGCCTCTTCAGGTTCATATGCCACAGACACTAGATTAGTCTCTCCAGTGTATGGCAATCTGAGCTCTACATGCAGTATTTCTTTTGCTTACTACACCAATGTAGGGCCTTTCAGCAGACTTAATCTCTACCTGTATCCTCCAAACTCTGACCCAACAACTGCCAACAGCAGAGTTTTCTACAGATTGTGGACATCATCAAGCCTTGTGGGCAGTCAATGGCAGAATGCCACAGTAGGAATAGGGAACCGAAACCCAGGCTACAGACTTGCTTTTGTAGCAAGAAACTTCGACAGGAATAGGGGAGGTATAGCCATTGATGATGTGGTCTTTAACACTTGTGCTCTACCAGCTGTAGGACAATGTGCTTCCAATCAGTTCAAATGTCATAGAGGAGCTTGTGTGGACATGACAAGAAAATGTGACTTTTCTAATGACTGTGGTGATAATTCAGATGAGATAGGATGTAGTAGCTATGTCGAAAGATGCAACTTTGAAAGTGACATTTGTAACTGGCAACAAGACATCAATGACATGTTTGACTGGACATGGAAACAAGGTGCCACAGCCTCTTCAGGAACTGGACCAAACTTTGACCACACCTACGGAAACTCTACAGGACATTATGTATTCATAGAGACTTCTGCTCCCCGTGTAGCAGGTGACAAGGCACGCCTGTTGTCTCCAGTGTTCCAAGCCAACTCCCAGGCAGGCCAGTGTCAGATGAGATTCTTCTATCACATGCATGGACAAGACGTTAATGCACTGAATGTATACATAGAAAATTATGAAATGGGACCAAGAATACCAGTGTTCCAGAAGACTGGTTCTCAAGCTGACATGTGGATTCGTGCTATGATCGATTTAACCAGTAATCTTCCTTTCAGAGTTGTGATAGAAGGCATCCGTGGAAAGGGCTATCATGGGGACATTGCCATAGATGATATGTCCTTCACTAGTGGCTGTAAACTGGCCACTTCATACCATCTTCCCCAAGCTCTCACCACCATTGGTCCATGTGGAGCTGGAAAGGGCCAGTGTAACAATGGTCAGTGTATCAAGTATAACATGTTCTGTGATTTCAAGACAGATTGCAGTGATGGAAGTGATGAACAATCTTGTCCCAGTACATGCAACTTTGACAATGGACAGTTCTGTAATTGGCAGAATGACTTGAACACCAACACCCTTAACTGGACGATAGGAAGTAACAACAATCCATCACCAAGTCCAACAACAGACCATACTACAGGTTCTGTTGCAGGAAAGTTTGCCCTGATCCAATCCCAGTCCACAACCACCAGTCGCAAGATTGCTCGATTGGAAAGTCCCATGTACTACCAAGCAGGAACAGCTTGTACCTTTACAATGTGGTACAACACAAATGGAACTGGAATCCAACATCTAGGGGTCTATTTCACTCAGGGAGAGAGTTATAGAAATATATGGACAATGACTGGCACTCAGCTCAGAACCACCCAGAGGGTCTGGACAAAAGCAACTGTGGAACTTCCAAAATGTCCAATGAACTTCAAGGTAACCATTGAAGTGGCTACATATGGAAGACAAACCAACTATGTAGCTATTGATGACTTAGCCTTCACACAGTGCCACTATCTGCCTCCCACCTCCTCTTGCTTGCTTGGACAATTCACCTGCAGTTCAGGAAATTGTGTACCACAGAATCTCAAATGTGATCTCCAGACAGACTGCTGTGATGGATCTGATGAGAGTCGAAACACCTGTGCAGGATATCAACAATGTAACTTTGAGTATGGAGTGTGTGGATGGCAACAATCCACTACTGATCAATTTGATTGGCTGAGACACCAAGGACCAACCAATTCTTATGGTACAGGGCCATCAGGAGATCATACCTATGGATCAAGGACTGGGTACTACATGTACATTGAATCATCCAGGCCTAGGAGAGCAAATGATACAGCTCAGCTGATCTACAATTTGAATGTCCCAACATCCCCTTGTGCAATGAGACTTTGGTACCACATGTATGGTCAGAATGTTGGCCAACTTAACATCTACATTAAAACCCTAAACAAAGGTACAGTTCTTCTGAAGAGTATATCATCCAACCAGAACCAGACCTGGCACAGACTAGAAGTGGGTCTTCAAAGCACAACACCATACCAGGTGGTGATAGAAGGAGTCATTGGAGTAGGATACCTTGGAGACATTGCTATTGATGATGTCAGCTTCACCCCAGGCTGTGGAGCCTCCAGTAGTGGTGGTGCATTCACTACCCCAGCAGTATCGACCCCAAGTCCAAATACATGTGGGGAAGGTCAATTCGCTTGTGGTGATAGTACCTGTATACCTTTATCCAAGGTCTGCAACTTCCAATCAGACTGTAAAGACAACTCAGATGAGAATCAGTGTCCACAAACATGCAACTTTGAACAAGATACATGTGGATGGCATGAACTTCCTCTTGATCAGTTTGACTGGACACGGGCTAATGGATTATCCACATCCTCTAAAAGGAACATGGCTCCAAACATAGATGACACATATAAGAATCAAAATGGCTATTACATGTACGTCAATGATCAAACAAGTGGACAAACTTCTGGGCTAATAGCGGGACTTCAAAGCTCTGCCTTCAAATCAGCTAATGCAGACTGCAAGATATCCTTTGCCTACTATACAACTGGTTCAAAAGTAGGTCCTTTATATTTGTTTGTGGTGGAAAACAATGTCTTGACACCACTATGGAGATTACTTTCATATGGCACAATGGATGATCAGTGGCACAGTGTTACTGTTGGAATTGGCAGAAGAACCACAAACTTCAACATGCTCTTCAGGAAGACCATATCAAGTTACAGTGGCATTACAGCAATAGATGATATAAGCTTCACAGACTGCAGGATGAGGCCACCCGTCACTCAGTGTAACACTGTTACCCACTTCTGGTGTTCTAACAAAGTATGTATCCCCAAAAGCAAACAGTGTGACAATGTAGATGACTGTGGAGACGGCAGTGATGAGGGAAGTGTGACTTGCAATGGCTACACACGCTACAACTTTGAAGTGGGCACTGGAAATCTGATCCAGGGACAGAATGGTGTGGATGACGACTTTGATTGGAGTTTGTTTGCAGGACACACTCCATCCAGCTTTACAGGACCCCAGTGGGACCACACTTACGGAAACAGCACTGGACATTACCTGTACATGGAAGCATCTAAACAGAAGTACAACTCAAAGGCTTGGATTCTTACAACTCCATTCTACCGCACAAATGGCAGGAACTGTGTGATGAGGCTGTATTACTTTATGTATGGAATCTATGTCAACCAACTGAATGTGTATTCCAGAATGTACTCATCTGGCCCTCCAACTCACACCCTCTTCTCAAGGTAAGCCTCTTAAATTGTGGATATTAATGACTATTTACTTGAAAATTCTCTCGCATAAAGACACTGTTTGTGCAATAAAGCCAATTAGATGAAATACATGTACATGTTAGCAGGTTATTGGGAGAATTTTTTGTACTGTGTTTCAGATCTGGAGAACAAGGTGCTTATTGGCAGGAAGTCATTCTTCCTCTGAACTACTCCACTGATTTCCAAATCATCATTGAGGCCAAGGTTGGTGATAACTTCCTGGGTGACATTGCCATTGATGACATCAGCTTCACCCCAGACTGTCAGGCCTCACAGAACACCCTGCCACCCCCACCTACTGTTCAGTCTACAGTCCAACCACCAGTCAGTACTGGACCATCAAACTGTAATCCCACTAGTCAGTTTACCTGTGTGTCAGACAGAAGCTGTATTAGCAAAATCCAGGTGTGTGACTTCAGAAACAACTGTGCTGATGGATCAGATGAAGCCCAGTGTGGTATGTGATACAAAATGTTCGAATTTACCAAAATGCAAAATTGTACTTAAGAAACTGTCATGCTAACAATTTCTAATGCACTCTAGCATACATCAAACTTATTATAAATTAAGATCATAAAAAATGCTTATCAATAATTTATAAGCATTTGAAGAAATTTTTATGAAGGAATAAAGTACAAGTTTATAAGTTTTAGAAGAATTTTTATAAATGACATAAATCTCATGTAATTTTTTGTCTACAGTGCCCACCTTCTGCAGCTTTACCAATGGCACCCTGTGTAACTGGAAAATCAATGCATCTCACTCTACAGTCCCTGATCAGACATACAAATGGAAGGTGGATACAGCGGGTACTGCAGCACAGGGAGATTACAGACCTACAGAGGACCAGGCAGGCTACCGTAAGTTGTTGTACCATGTATATTAAAGATTTTTAATATCCAGATAATTTTGGCATCGTTAATGGTGGTTTTGACAATCCTAAAAGTATGGCTGATAATTCAAATGCAAATAATGTCAAAGAAAAGAACCAGAGTTATCCCTAAAATTACAATAAATTAATTACATTAATAATGAATGCCCATTTTAGAAAAAAATTGGGTTTTCCAACATAGTACATTTTTCTCTAAATACATGTATTTTCTATGAGTAACTTTATTTTCGAGAAAGTTAAATTTTTAATGCTTTTTTTGTAAGGAGAGAAGAAATACTCTCAAACATTTGCAAGTAACAAAAATACAGTGTACTAGACATACAAATGTTTGGATAAAAATATGCCTATTCAAAATATAGTCGATTATATTTTTAAAATGTTTGATAAAAATGAAAAGTATATGCAATACTTGCTACTATAAATGATATTTTAATTATTTTGCTGTAATCATTTTCATCAGCCAGTGACAATTCATAGTTAACTTTTCTATAGTGTATAAGTTTGCTGTTTTTTAGGAGGAGGTTGGTATGTGTGGGCTGACAGCTCCCCAGGCTCTTTCAGGGATACCACTGAATTATACACACCTATGATAGGACAAACTGGTCCACAGTGTAAACTGGTTCTTTACTATTGGATGCAAGGCCATGCCAGACACTCCATGGAAATTTATATCAAGATCAACAACAGAACAGAACATCTATGGGCAGGAGAAGGTGAGAAATTGTAACTTTTTTCTTCATATCATTTGACTTGAACTGATATAATTAATATGAAAGTTAGACCATCTTTTGAGTACCCGTTCACCGAAATTATTTGTGTGTGTGTGTGATTGAGGGGGATCTTCATGATTATTATTTTTGAGTTCATTAATATCTCACAGATGACCATGGCAAAGAGTGGCAACATTTGGAGGTGTTCATTGGTCCAAGACAGAACTTTAATTTAGTCATTCAAGCAAGACGAGGTAGATCTTACACTGGGGACCTCTCAGTTGACAGCATCAACTTCCTCAACTGTCAGCCCCCTGTCGCTCTACCTCAGGGCTGTCCTGCCAAAACTTTCCAATGTAATAATGGCTACTGTGTGAAACAAAACCTCAAGTGTGACTACTCTAATGACTGTGGAGATAACTCAGATGAAATTGTGAGTCCAACTGTACTCTTTGTCATGTATACAATGCCTTATTTCACAAAAAACAAAAGAATTTAAAAGAAAAAATAAATACAAAAAAACTCATAAAAACCAGATTTTCATTGTTCATAAACACTAAAATTACATCAATATGAAATATTTATTCCTTTCATATTTTCTATACCCAGATGTGTTCTTGATGTTTACTTAATGACCAGATTGTTCATAGCAGTATCTCTGTTTGTAGGCTGTTGAATGTGATCAAACATACAAGGGTCGATGTAACTTTGAGCATGGTATCTGTCCTCAGTGGCAGAATGACCCATCTGCCAAGTTTAATTGGAAGCTCTCATCAGGTCGGACTGCTAGTGCAGGAACTGGGCCACTTGGAGACCACACAACAAGAACTCATTCAGGTAGCTCTCACTAAATTGTTGAAACTAAGGGATACATGTATGCTTGTCAAGTTGTTGAAATATTTTTGTTTGCAATCATTTTATATCCAAGAGGTCGTTGGTGGGCAACCAAAGTTTTACTGGTTCGTGGGAATGTAATTTCATGGGAAGCTAATTGTTTAAACAGACAATTTAATGAACTGAAAAGTTGACAATTAATGTTATCATTCTTGGGGATGTAACCTTGAGGATAACATTGACCCATGAAATCCATGAACATAAATCCCCCACGAACAATGATGATTCCACAGTATGGGGTGAATGTAAAATATTGCATTTCAAATTTCAGGGACATATCTCTACATTGAAAGTTCAAGCCCTCGAAAACCAGGTGATACAGCTCGACTGAACTCAGCCACTATCAAAGCATCATCTCGAGACTGCACAGTAAGTTACTTGTACACAAAATAGCAACATCTCAAGACTTCACAGTAAGTTACTAGTACACAATACATTTGCAGCAAGTGCACTTCATGGACCATATTATATTTATTCCATTCATGCCATATTTCTTAGCTTAAATAAGTGACATTGTTATGCCTGAGTTAAAACTGATACTTTTTTAACTTTAGCTGAGATTATACTTCCACATGTTTGGAGCCAACATGGGAACATTCAACATCAAGAAGCGATACAGCTTTGTCACAGAAGATCTTGAAATGCTCTATTCTTGGAGTGGTAATCGTGGAGATTTCTGGTATCGATTTGAACAAAACCTGACAACCAGTGATCCTAGAGACTTTGAGGTAATAGAATAGCAAATTAATAAACTTGCATATTGCAAAGAACAATTTTAAAATAGATTTAATTATGTTATAACTTTTCCATTTTGATTTCAGATTGTAATTGAAAGAATTGTTGGTTATTGTTACTATGGAGATATAGCCATTAATGAACTTTAACATCTTGGTTTCAGATTGTAATTGAAGGAATTGTAGGTAATGGTTACTATGGAGACATAGCCATTGATGACATCTCCTTGACACCAGGTTGCCAGTTTGCAACCAGTGAGTAAAGGTTTTGAAAAGCTCAATTTTCCAGTATTTTACAGTACATATGCACTTAATTTGAATAACTTAAAAGCTAGTTCTCAGAAGATAACACTATGATCTTTTAACATTTTAGCTCAAATCCCAGGAGTCCCCACCCCTGCTCCTACTGTACCTGGAGCCTGTGGGGCCAACAAATTAACATGTGGAAATGGAAATTGTTACAGCCAGTCACAGAAGTGTAACTTTAGGGATGACTGTGGAGATAATAGTGATGAAGTGAACTGTGGTATGTGCATTTTGTATACTTTTGTGTAAAGTATAATCATTGTTATGACTCTCCACAGTCAACATATTAATCTTTTGATGATCAAGTTCACCCTACTTTAAGTACTGTATACAGGGTTATTTTCACCCCATGTAATTTTTGCCCTATTATACTTCCAAATGATTTCTGTCCCAACACAGTAGTGTTAAAGAGAGATAACTTGCCTCTATTGAGTTTGCCCTGTTTTTACTCATCCACTGATGACAAAGGTTGAAAGGAAAGAGCAGATATTTCCCCTGTATACAGTAATTCTAAATGCTGCAATTATTGACTGACAGTGTTAAGATTATTTATAGTGAAAGGTGTTTGCTGGCGTAGCATTATTTTTGGTAAATATCAAATATGACTTTTAAAACTTTTGATTTGATTTGCAGGAACTTCTTGTAAATTTGAATCTGGCACTGGACTCTGTGGATGGCACAACTCCCTCAATGATAACCTAGACTGGAAGCTGTTGTCTGGCCCTACCCCCAGTAAAAACACAGGTCCACAAAATGATCACACTCTAGGAACATCAGCAGGTAATGAAGATTAACTTTATAAGTACACATACACTGTCATGTACAATGATCTGGTCTAGAAATCATTCATAGAAATAAATATAATAAAAAAAAAATAGCAAGGAGATTTTATCCATATATTGGAAGCATACTTGTGTTATAAATTCATTGAAATGACTTTATGATGAAATAATTACTTTGTTCAATATGTAAACCAGTAATAAAATCAGAAGTATTTTTGAATAAATCCATTTCATTTGATTCCTTTATCCTCATGATTTTCTTCTTTCATGCCAAAACCATTTTATCTACTATTCTACTATAAGTTAGTACATGTATTTTAAAACAATAAACCTACTTGGGATGTAATGCCCTTTAAATTTAAGGCCATTACCTGTACGTGGAGAGCTCTAACCCGGCTCATCCTCAAGACAAAGCCCTATTGGAGAGTGCTGTATACTACCAATCTGGTCCTCTCTGTAACTTAACCTTCTGGTACAACATGAATGGACAACAGATTGGAACACTCCAAGTTCTCCTCAAGACCAGCATCAGTAACCAGCTACTGACCCTGTGGCAGAAAACCGGAAATCAAGGTTCTGCATGGAAACAGGCCTCCATCCCTATCCGCAGCAACAGTCAGTTTGCCATCGTCTTCGAGGCAAGAACAGGATTTGGATACTTGGGAGATATTGCTATAGATGACATCATGTACACTGGCTGTGATACAGGTAATGTTAGGAGATTACTACATGAATACATCCTTTTACTATTTGTATTGGAATGTTGGTAATTCTTGAATGTTGTTTTGATTTAAATTTTCTTAAATGAACAGGTCAGGCAGTAGCCAGTTGTCTCCCCTCACAGTTCCTGTGTACTGACCAGACAATGTGTATAGACAGGAGATACAGGTGTGATGAAAGAGTGGACTGTAGTGATGGATCTGATGAAGACAACTGTAGTATGTACTCTTT